ACTTGCCCCAGACTCGGAGGTGATCACGCCAAGTTATCCTAGATTGGATTCCAAACCACACGCATTTGTGAACGGAGAGAAAGAAAATCAACCAATTTGTTACCTTAACTGTGTTTTTAACTTTTAATCTAATTGTTAAATCAAGTGTAAACTTTGGAATTTTCAAAGGCACATTAGAAATTTCAACTATTAATTTTCCAAATTTAGCAACATGCGTTCTGTGTCCAGTTTTTTTTTATGTTTGACAGTTACATTGTAATCATTAATAAAGTTATAAACATTTCTATTGTTTTTTGTTGTTTATTTACGTTATGACTCATGAACATTGTGTACAACACTAAAGAAACATTGTATCTGAATTTCTGAAGCTAGTAGGCGGGGCTTGCTGATCTTGGCACCAGCCAATGGTAATAATCTTGAACAAGCCGTGCTCTTACTACCATGATACAGCACGGGTAAGATCAAGGGTACCGCTCGCAACCCGTGCTACAATACAGAGTAAATGCACATCTGGAAAAACCCAAACATTAGAACAAACTTACCCAAAATTCAAATGTAGGTAAAACCCGTAAAAATGGCGCCTTTTGCATACCCTGTAAAGATACACATGTGGATCAAACACATACGAGAATGTGCCGGTATACTAGTGTGTTCCCTTGCTATTGCGATCTTCAATGAAGCGCTAACTAAGTTTTAGCATAGTAAAGCATGGCACGTATACTGTTTTGTTGGTCATCTACCCCCTACGACTCCACCTAGGTTAAACAGCTGATCGTCCATAACACTCATCAGTTATTTGGACCCCAAAGGTAGCTTGTAGCGAGGGATCCCTGTACTAGGAAGTGTTAAAACTGGAAGACATGACAGTGAGAAAAGCCCAAGATTGGAAGTATTATACTCAAAAAGAAAAAGGTTTTTAGGCATCGGGTTCTTAATTTACATCCTGCGGGTCAATCATTATGTTTCAGAAAAAAAAGTTATCAACTTTTCAGTTTCACATGTTTCTCCTCATCACGTGTTTTCAATAATAAAAAAAAGTACAAAACATATGCGAGATAAACATTTTAATGCAGCCTTGTAATGTACCTAATAATGGTAAATACTGATTAAGACAAATATGGCCTTGTAAATATCTAAGGTTTTATTGTATTGATGCAGAAACATTTCACCAAATACTTTTGTTCATATTCCTGAATAATTTCTTTATTCCTCCAATTACAAACTTACTTGTTCAGCACAAAGTTGAATCTTATATTGATAAGTTCCAATATTGATAAGTTACACAACAACTCACAATTAAACAAATGGGTATAATATGTAGCACATCTTGATAAAATGTATTAACAAGAGGCCCATAGGGCCTGTATCGCTCACCTGGATATTTATGCAGTCATGACAAAATATACATTTGCATTGTACATGTATATAATACTGCACATATTTCGTAATTTTGACTGTCAGCATTTAAAATGGGTGGATGGCAAATCTGACAGCATGAACGTGTATTTCTCTAGATACAAATGTAGCATAAAGATCTGAACTGTATCCATGTTATGATCCATGATAATTCATATTAAAGGTATTATTCTCTTCATAACAAACAAATGTATACAATCTATCCGTTTATTATAGGGTGGGGATTATATCAGTTTCCATGTTATGGTCAAGGTTCTAACTCCTTTGGACAGATGAACAGAAGGGCCTGTCCTGTTAGCATATCTCTCATTATACTCTCAATTGTATATATGGTTATACGGTGGGGATCTTAACTGTGTCCAAGTTAAAAACTCTTTTTGGCCCTGCCCCTCAGCCCCTAGGGGTGTGGGGGTGTGGGGGGGTGGGGTGGGGAACTTGGCTTCACATACAATACTCACATAGATGACAGTGTTTGTTTGATTGTTGTTTAACAGCGCACTCAGCAATATTCCAGCTATATGACGGTGGTCTGTAAATAATCGAGTCTGGACCAGACAATCCAGTGATTAATATCATGAGCATCGATCCACGCAATTGGGATCGATGACATGCATTAACCAAGTCAGCGAGCTTGACCATCCGATCCGGTTAGTCGCCTTTTACGACAAGCATAGTTGCCTTTTACTGCAAGCATGGGTTGCTGAAGACCTATTCTACCCCGGATTACTCACGTAAATGACAGTGATGTCAAACGCTGATCCACTGAACTAAAATGGATCTTCGATCTCAAAACCATCCACCCGCAAGGCATGAAAGACAAGATCAATCCTGGAGCCCCCCCCCACCCCTTCTCTTACAGTAATGTCAATGAGTGAGTGAGTGAGTGAGTGAGTATGGTTTTACGCCACTTTTAGCAATATTCCAGCAATATCACGGTGGGGGACACCAGAAATGGGCTTCACACATTGTACCCATGTCGGGAATCGAACCCGGGTCTTCGGCATGACGAGCCAACGCTTTAACCACTAGGCTACCAGGCCGCCCCTAATGTCAATGAAGATCACATACAACACAAAATAGTGCCTAGACACTGGATACATAGTCAGCCGTTTAAGCAGTCAACAAAAACAGCCACTTCAACAAAGGTTGCTGTCAGTATTTATATTCAAATATTAATATCTGCAGCAATACTCTGGACCAAAAACTAATACCAAAATTTATTTGAGTTAGTGAGTGAGTTTGGTTTAACGCTGCTTTTAACAGTATTCCAGTTATATCACGGCGTGTCGAAGTGATGCAGGTCTCCGACGTTTGCCACTTCAGGTAAAAACCACGAGCACGGGTATGGTGCTGACAAACCTGGAAACATAATCAGGGCGAACCGGGAATCGAACCCACAATCATAGGTTTCTGGCGTGCCCAAGGGACGCATCTCTGCACAGTGAGTTACGGAGCCTTAGACGACTGGGCCACCCGTGCCCCCAAATTTATTTGAACAGAATATGATGTCATCATCAGGAGAAACAAACATGCCCAAGTTCAGTTCTCTCATGCTGGCAATTTCATGGGAGAAGATGTTCATAGAGCCAAATATGCCATTTGATATTTTAAAAGCATGATCAAAACACATTTAAAATATATAATATTGCAAAAAATAGAACAAGTGTGTTGAAATGTAAACAAAAAACAAATATCATTACATTTTGAAAGACTCAGTAATGGTTATAAATTTAATTGTCCAATATGCCTGCGATTGTAGATTAGATTAGTACCAGGTGAACGAATTGGGATGTCATCATTGGTGCGAACAAGCATGTACAATATCAGTTTCATTGGTCCTGTGCTTTCTGAGGAAATAATGTTTACAGTGCAAGAATTCTGAAAGAATTTAGGCACATTATCCTGGAGCATGGTCAAAGTGAAAAGGTATAAAATACAACATTGTCAAAAAAGAACATACGGTTTGAGCATGTTGAGATCCACTACCAACTACACACATACCAAATTTCATTCATCTAAACAGTAAGGGCTGAGTAGTGGCCAAAAGAAGTTTTGGCTAGCATTAGGCTGAAGTACAAAGGTCAAATAGCACCACTAATGGAACATATCATGCTGAAATCCACTACAAACTACACATGTACCGATTTCAATTCACTAAAGAAAAATGACTGAGTAATGGCCATAAAGAGGTTTTTCAATATGGCTGCCATTATGGCCATATTGAAAATCAGATTCAAACCTCTTGAACAAATCGGGGTGTCATCACTGTTGGGAACAAGCATTTAAGTTTTAGCATTATTGTTCCAGCATTTTTGAAGAGAAGATGTCAGGTGACCTAAAAAGCATTGATTACACATAAAAGTAAAAAGTGAGTATTCAAACAGTGAATATATGATTAAGGATACTTTCACTACCACATGCTAAATTTTATCAAAATGGTTCATGGTCTACATCTCACAAACATTCTGCAAGAAGGAAAAGCACAAATACTGATAATTATCTGTAGTATGATACACATTGTTCAGACTTGATTATTTACAGACTGTGTGTGTGCCTTAAACAACTCAAAAACAAAAACAAAACACAAGTCATCAATTTAAAGGTCTAAATCAGATACACATGTACCAGATGGTAGAGCATAGAACCCCTTTAATAAAAAAATGTGGAGACGTCATGTTTATATATACAGTCAAGTCCCGTTAATCCGACATCGATGGTTGCATATGATTATGTCGGATTAACGAGTATGTCGGATAAACGAAATTTAGTAGTATCAACGTTCGTGATCAAAAATTGGACAACTAGGCCTACACGATAGATAAGGATTCAAACACGTAATAAAAAATATAAAATAAATATTCATATTGTTATGTTACATTGTTAGCGGAATATGTTTTCTAATCATGCAACCTCTAAAGTTTAACACAAAACAACTTTTACGGACAGTATGACCGATTCAAAATACTTTAAAAAGCATAGTCTGGAATGGAAGTCGCAACTTTGAAACTGGTACCCAAAGCTTAAGAAAGCTGCTTTCTAAGTGGCTAACGTCGACTTCCTGTTGGTCACTTCATTGGTAGGTCATAGTTCGCGAAAGGTTTATATATACACTGTATAAGCAACAATCCAACACCTGCAGATATCTCAGGACAATCATCATCCTCGACAGTCCAGGGTATTTTATCTTAATTCTGTTACAATACATACCCTGAGGGCTATGCTACCCAGCTTTGTTTCCAGTTTGAAAGACACAAAGTTGAAAACATACATCAAGTCAAATCGCGGTTCTCTTATTTAAGAAACAAATGGCAGAATAACTAGTACACAACTCGTTTTGTTGAGTACCTTTTCAAATACCACTGGGTGAGGTGAGGTGAAATTGGGTTTAACGTCGCATCCAAGATTATTGCACTTATATAGCGACGTGCATGCACGTGTATGTGTGTGTGTGGCTGCTTGTACTAGTCCGGACTGATGCCGATTTATAGTGCTAGCTCACTGAGATACCATGCCGCAGTTTAACATGAATACCCCACTCAGACACAGTATACTGACTCCGAGCCGACCAGTCCTTGTTTTAGCCCATTAATGCCGAGCGCCAGACAGGGTAACAACAAGTACAATCTTTTAACGTCTTTTTGTATGACGCGGCCCGGGATCGAACCCGGGACCTTCCGCTCTCCGGGCGGACGCTCTACCACAAGACCACGGAGGCGGTCTAAATACCACTGGGAATGTCTTATAGTATTCAGACTTCCCTCCCTTTGTCCAACATATTTTCCATCTGAAACTTCATATTAACTCTTTTACATTAAATTTATCCAAGGCTTGTATATACACAATAATAATTTTAAATGTACACCTATTGCTGAAATCTTAATCTTTTGATTGGTTGTTTATCACAAGCTTATGACAGAGAAATGTTGTGCTTAGTTAGTGGTAACAGAAAATGCGACTTACTTAAGAACTAACCTTCTATAGCTATTGGGTCCAGGGTATTTATGACAACAGAGAGGTAATATCACACCCTGCACTATGGAGGATGGACAATAGTAGACCTCAGCAGGACCCTGCGTCACAATGGGCAGCATGAGTTCCTGATTTTCCCCCAATCCAGACAAGGAGGGAATTGGCTTCAAGTCAAGACCCTACTTGACAAAACGGCTAGAACCCACGCTATAACGGGTAAGACAATCAACACCCACAGACAGCCTCCGAAGGGTTATTTTCACCTAGGGTCTATAAGAAACATTAACATTATTATGAAAATGACTCAAACAGTATCAATGTTATGGCTATCAACTTCTAAATGCAGTGGACATCAGATTATATTCACTTTCACCAGTGCATTTTCTTAATTAAGGGCCAACAAGTCCTTCATTCTTTGATAAGCTGAACACAGTTAACTCGGGTTAAAGGGGACCGCTAAGTTTAGTTTGTTATAACTGTAGTTCGTTATAAGCATATATATCTCATATATTCACCGGCCCAAAATAATATATGGACCGGCCCAAAAGCAGTTTCGCTACATCTGTCAGTTTGTTATAAACATAGTTTACTTTATGTCTAACATTGCTCCAGAATCAGCCCAATGAAATAATTCATCCATTATATGGAGTTGAATTCGTCAGGAGCTCTACCATATCGATCATCATGCACGTCTCCTTGTTGCTCCAGAATTGGCCCAATGAAATAATTCATCCATTATATGGAGTTGAATTCGTCAGGAGCTTTACCATATTGATCATCATGTGCGCTTCCTTGAGCCTGATCCCTGACATGGGCTTGCAGAATTGGTCGCTGTAAAAACAAAAGTACTTTCAATTCTGCTGTGGTACATCCCGTTCGATTGCCTTCCAGTGTTTCAACAATGCAAGCAAGCTCCCACCCTTCTCGGCCAAACCTTTCAATCACCGGTTCCCACTTGGTGTTGGTGGCCACTCCACCACACACAGTCCTCAACTCTACATAGTGCTCCAGCACCACTCCCTCGTACACAGCAGTGTCGTCGTTCATACGAGACATCGGCTTCTCGAAAAACCATATGGAGTTGAGATCCATTTTCCTTGAGAGGGCCTTGTGCTTAAACCCATCATCAAAGAACACTTCCACCAATCGCCATCCTTTAGACAAGTATTCTGTCATTATTCCAAGCCAGTTGCAGTTTACAGAAAGTCCAGTTCCGCCAAAACTTAGGTTAGTTTTCAGCTGTACAGGACATGGGACGCACATGTATGCATACAGCTCGTTTGTTGGTGCACTTGGCATGTCGAAGAACAAGTCAACCCCCATGACTGAAAATCAAAATAACATTATGACATTTGGTAAAATATTTTTTGTGCCAAACAACAAGTTGGTCATGCCTGAAAAATTACATCAAAAGAGGAGGGAATGGTCAAAATGTATCACAGCTACATCGAGGGAGGGCCATTAAAAATAACAATTTTATTCTTTTGAACAGAAAAATTATTTTTTTATGATAAAAATATCACTTATACTTATCCTGACTCATACTAAGTTGCTCGTATCTTCTTTTTCCCAAAACAGTGGAACCTCTTGTGGATTGTTCCTAAAGAACAGATATCATCTCACCCAAATGCACCCCTCTCACGCGCATGAACAGCAGAAACATGTGACCAACCAGTCACACTCATCACTCCATATTCTCTCTTCCAGACAGACCGCCTCCGTGGTCTAGTGGTAGAGCGTCCGCCCGGAGAGCGGAAGGTCCGGGATTCGATCCCGGACTGCGTCATACCAAAAGACGTTAAAAGATGGTACTTGTTGTTACCCTGTCTGGCGCTCGGCATTAAGGGGCTAAAACAAGGACTGGTCGGCTCGGAGTCAGTATACTGTGTCTGAGTGGGGTATTCATGTTAAACTGCGGCATGGTATCTCAGTGGGCTAGCACTATAAATCGGCATCAGTCCGGACTAGTACAAGCAGCCACACAAACATACACACACGTACATGCACGTCACTATATAAGTGCACGCGACGTTAAACCCCATTTCACCTCACCTTCCAGACAGAGCGGGGCAGGGACGGCTGAGCTGGTGCTTGAGTGTATGAGTCAGGATAAGTATAAATAATACTTTTATCATAAAAATTCATATTTTATTGTACCCTGACTCATTCTAATTTGCTTGAATCTCACTGTCGGTGGTAGGTATCACCTGGAGGTGTGATCAAACATGGTCAAACGATCTGTTCTCACTGCTGGCTTGTCCTTGGCTCCTTGATGCCTGATAAGCGACTCCTGAAGTGCGCTTCTGAACCGATTGTTAATAAATCAAGTTCATAGTCTGGACTGACTTGATTAACGTCTGGTCCTTTGAATCTTGGACCACCTTCTTGTTAATGCCGCGGATGACAAATCCCACGTCTGACGTAAAAGAGGTCAGACCAATGGGAGTTGGCTATCAAGCCCTAGGAAATAGAGAAGAGTATCGCCGTCAGAGAATGAGCTGACGTGATCGGAAGCAAACTTTTGATGTTTCTTCTGCACGATCATCACGGACAGGAATATCCTTTCCTGGGCCCCGTTCCACAAAGCGATCTTAGCGCTAAGACTATTGTAAGCCAATGTTAAAGTATGGGAGTTATGATCATCTTAGCGCTAAGATCGCTTTGTGCAAGTGGGCCCTGGTCTGTCTAAGGAGTCTTTAAGCATTCAGCATTGCTTCATTAATGGAGCAGGACATGGAAAGGCCAAGGAGAGAACATCTTGTTGTGCTAACTGCTTATCATTGACACAGTAGTCTCTGCTCTTCAAACCTGAAATCAATGAATAGTCTTCATCAATCTCCGGCGCCTGGAGGAAGACGACCATCCCGCGTAAAGGAAGCACCTTGACACTGAAGTTTGAACCCTGGGTACTCGTAGTCTCCAGAAAAGAGGCATCAAGGTTCTTGGCTATCTGTGAAATCAGCTGGGGAAAAAATAAGAAGGCGAGGAGTCTGACTGGTTGGTCACGACTTCCCTGAGAGTGGTGCATTTGGGTGAGACAATCTGTTTAATTGGGAACACTGCACAAGAGTTTCCACTACCTTTTGGGAAGAGTGAGTGAGTGAGTATAGTTTTACGCTGCTTTTAGCAATATTCCAGCAATATCACGGAGGGAGGACACCAGAAATGGGCTTCACACATTGTACCCATGTCGGGAATCGAACCCAGGTCTTTGGCGTGACGAGCGAACGCTTTAACCACTAGGCTACCTGACCGCCCCTAGTTTCGGGAAGAAGAAAGAGATAAGCAAATTTACATGTTTCAAACATAGGGGGAGTTACAAATGTGAAATCTCCATTAAACACTGCTAATATTTTCTGAATGAAACCATGTATCAACCCCTGAAGATCCGGGGTAGAATAGGTCTTCAGCAACCCATGCTTGCCGTAAAAGGCAACTATCCTTGTCGTAAGAGGCGACTAATAGGATCGGGTGGTCATGCTCGCTGACTTGGTTAATGCATGTCATCGTGTCCCAATTGCGTAGATTGATGCTCATGATGTCAATCACTGGATTGTCTGGTCCATACTCAATTATTTACAGACTGTCGTCATATGGCTGGAATTTTGCTGAGTGTGGCGTAAAACAACAAACAAAAAAACGAACAAACAAAAATATGTTCCAAAAATACCCTAGGGGTACATAGAAGCAATATCATGTTGAAGTCTCTAACATCTGTCATAAGCATTGCGGTCGTGCCAGAGCCGGAGCTCGAATTCAGGCCAAGGACTTTGACATAAAACAACAAACACTTACCGGGACCCCCGCCCCGCATTTCTGCTGCAAACCCCTGGCGCCTTATTTGTCCAGTCGTTTCTACACAGATGAGCCGCCCGCCTGTCCTGGTGTTTTCTGCAATGGCTTGATTGATCTGGGACGTGTCAGTGTCAACAGTGGCCCCAATCAAGCCATGACGCACAACTTGCATAACCATGACTGCTTTGACGATATGGAGATTCCACCCCTCAAACCTTGGCAAGGTCGGGTAACGACAGAAGAAGCCCTGAAAATTGTAAAATAGTGCCACTGCAATGTAGTTCACCTGGACATGTAGTTAACATAGTTTCACAAAAAAGCAACTTATATAGACTGATGTTAAAATAGTTTCTGAAAAAATACAAACAGTACCTGCTATTGATTTGAACAAAATTTGATGTCATCAAATAAGGAACATACCAGTACACGCCACGGCTTCCTCAGACTGACAATTCAGAGAAGAACATGTTGACAGAGCCAAAATGTTGTTTGTTTGTTTGTTTGTTTGTTGTTCAACGCCGCACTCAGCAATATTCCAGACGGTTTGTAAACATGGTAAATAAATGAGTCTGGACCAGACAATCCAGTGATTGACATCATGAGTATCGATCTACGCAATTGAGATATGATGATATGCATCAACCAAGTCACCGAGCCTGACCACCCAATTCCGTTAGTCACCTACTATTATGACAAGCATAGCTGCATTAAGGCATGCACGGTTTGCTGAAAACCTATTCTAACCCGGAATCTTCACGGGTGGCAATCTCAGAGAAGTTTACAGAGGCAAATATGTATTTTGAGAGAACTTTAGAGCATATGGTTAAAGTAATATCCAAATCTAAATATTTTGCAAAGAAACGTAATATATATGTGTTGAATCCCACCACTAACATGTATCAAATGTCATTACACCCTGAACAGAAAGTTATAAATAGGTTATTCAATATGGCTGCTGTGACGGCCATCTTGAACATCAGATTCAGACCTTTTGAACACATAAGGGTGTCATCATTGGTATTCAATCTGCGACCAATTTCACATTATTTTGACAAATTGTGCTTGTGAGTTAAAACAGAAATCTCCTGACAATCAAAATAAAATGACATATCTATATATCTCCCGTCCATTGTCTGACCTTGTAGTGAATGACATGTGCAAAGAAATGTGACATTGTAAATACTAACTGGTTTGCCCACCTGCATGTGGAAGAGGTTGAATACAAGACCTACATTTAGTTCTGGGACAAAATATCAATAGAATTTCAAAATAAGATGCATTTAGAAGTAATAAGCAAGATGTTAGACATGAGGATCACTTGTCCATTGTCAAGGAACCTGCCCTGTGTACATTCCATTGTTCAAATCACATGACATTAATTGAAGGAAGAAAACTTAATCTTCCACATTGCCCATTATATGAAAAACTAAGAATAGATGTACTTCCAAAGTATCACACAACATTTTCCAAACTTAAACAGCCACTGTCATCAACTAATCCAATAATTGTCAATTGTTTAGCCAAAAATATATTGGTACTGATTCCTGGTATGAAAAAACGAAGCAAAATGTTCTCTAAACTCCATGTGTAATAGTGTCTGACAAGCTTGGGTGACATATGAAATGATGTACAAGACATTGACCACTTTATGGAGCTTCCGAGAATATTATCCTGTTTACAATGTACTTGTAATAATGGGTCTGTTAGGAAGGTTTAGCCTGGCTTAGAACATCTTCCCGAGGCAAGAGAGTTAACTGATTATAAAAGTCCAGTTTCCACCCTTGCCGAACTTGGCTGGTATTATGGAGTTACATTTTGGCTGGACTAATGAGTCCTGACTGGCCACCATTTTGTGTGAAGCAAACAGAAGTGATACGAGAGGTGGAATCTGATTGGTCCATAGGAGAGGATTAGAAGGGACATAACTGGTAATAGCCACTGGTGGCGCTACGATCGAGCCCAGTAATTCCAGCCTAGTTCGGTAAGGGTTGAAACTGGTTACCCAACTGGTTATTGGTTACCCAATGAAAAATGTAATAACCCAATTAAAATCGAAACCCTAGAGTCAAAACTCAATTGCACAAAAAGTTATCTGGAGCTCTGTACCCAAAGAATGCACAGGACCAAGTGCCCCCACATTGACTGTATACTATTTTTTTTATCATGTACCTGAAATGGAACGACCATCGAAGTGCTGAATATATGCTGTTGTGCAGCATACGGAATGCGATAAAAACTGAGGAGACGGAATCCTTCAGCATACTTTTGTCCCAGGATAGGATAGTAGGAGTCAATGTTGGTGGTGATCATCCGGTTGGACGCTGCGAAGGCCATCTTGCCTGTCATGGTTACCTGAAATAATATTATATGAGGCTATAATTATGTGGTGTTTCTATACAATTACCTGTACTTTCCTTGCACATGCCGACCCGTGAAGATCTGGGGTAGAATAGGTCTTCAGCAACCCATTCTGGCCGTAAAAGGCAACTATGCTTGTCGTAAGAAGAAGCAACTAACAGGATCGGGTAGTCAGGCTCGTTGACTTGGATGAGGCATGTCATTGAACCCATTTGCATGGATGGATGCTCATGATATCAATCACTGGATTGTCTGGTCCAGACTCGATTATTTACAGACTGGAATATTGCTGAGTGCAGCGTAAAACAAACCAGCCAACCAACTTGCACATGCCAGTTGGACCTGGATCTGTCGATAGAGATTCAAAATGATGCCAGATTCTGTACCAAGCTGAATGACAAGAGTGAGTAAGTGAGTGAGTTTGGTTTTACGCCGCTTTTAGCAATATTCCAGCAATATCATGGCGGGGGACACCAGAAATGGGCTTCACACATTGTACCCATGTCGGGAATCGAACCCGGGTCTTCGGCGTGACGAGCAAACGCTTTAACCACTAGGCTACCCGACTGCCCCTGAATGACAAGAGGCACTGTTTCAATTTTCAAAGTGAGACTTTCCCATTCATGTCCTGCTTATGACAGCATTTCTCGGTTGCTTTGGTACTTTAGAGCATGTACATTGTGTTCAAATTTCAAGGAAAGACAGTTTTTCAATCCAGGTTTCATCATCAAAGGCCTGGTTAAGTAATTCCAGAGGTTTTATGTAAAACATTTAGAGTAATTAACTAAATACGGAACATTGCCTGTCAACATGAAGCTATCCCTTGCTATGACTTTGACATGAAGTTTTCGATCTTCCTTTACTGACACTTACTTTCTTGAAGCAAACTGTACGAGTGGCTGTAGAGTAGGACAACATTTCACAAACATCAAGTTTGTTTGTTTGTTTGTTGTTAAACACCACACTCAGCAATATTCCAGCTGTATGACGGCGGTCTGTAAATAATCCAGTCTGGACCAGACAATCCAGTGATTGACATCATGAGCATTGATCCACACAATTGGGATATGATGACATGCATCAACCAAGTCAGCGATTCGGACCACCCGATCCCGTTAGTCGCCTCTTACAACAAGCAGAATTGTCCCTTTACGGAAAGCATGGGTTGCTGAAGATCTATTCTACCCCGTATCTTCAAGGGTGAGGATCAACAAGCAGCGAGTAAATGTGCATCTGACAGCACCAATATAGAATATTCTAGATGTGTATTGTTGTAATACCGCTGAAAGATGTACATTTACTCGCTGTTTGTTGATCCTCATGACACGGCGGTCCACTTCCCTCTTGTTCTGCGCATGCCTAGTTTGGAAGGCTGCAGTCTGCATGTTTTAGTGCTGCCTTTACCATATTTTCAGCAGCATGCTCTCAGATTAATAATTGCCATTGTGTTGTGTTGCCGATTCCTTGTGTATTGTAGGCATACGACAGATTTCTGTTGCAGTCTCTCAGTTTTCATTGATAGGCATGATGAAGCTGTGCCCAGGCGTGTGTGACTTACCTGTGTATCAATGAAGCTGTATTCTGCAGCTGTGCCAAGGAGTCTAGGACTAACCTGTATATCAATAAAGCTGTATTCTGCAGCTGTGCCCAGGTGTGTATGACTTACCTGTGTTTCAATGAAGCTGTATTCTGTAGCTGTGCCCAGATGGGTATGACTTACCTCTGTTTCAATGAAGCTGTATTCTGTAGCTGTGCCCAGGTGTGTATGACTTACTTGTATATCAATTAAGCTGTATTCTGCAGCTGTGCCCAGGTGGGTATGACTTACCTCTGTTTCAATGAAGCAGTATTCTGCAGCTGTGCCCAGGTGGGTATGACTTACCTCTGTTTCAATGAAGCAGTATTCTGCAGCTGTGCCCAGATGGGTATGACTTACCTCTGTTTCAATAAAGCTGTATTCTGCAGCTGTCCAGGTGTGTATGACTTACCTGTGTTTCAATGAAGCTGTATTCTGCAGCTGTGCCCAGGTGTGTATGACTTACCTCTGTTTCAATAAAGCTGTATTCCACAGCTGGACCAGGGTAGGGTGGTCCAGGTGGGAGAACCTCACGCTCTTGACTTGGACCTGATCCCATGTTGTCTGTAGATCACCTGGTTCTGGAACACAGGTCAATTATTCAAATATCAACACTGAATTTTAAAAAATGGAGGGCAGTAATGGGGGGCAGTTTTGAGGGTGTGAGTTTGAGTTTGATTTAACATAGCTTAGTTTTAAGAGGGTAGTAGTGGAGGGCAGGAATGGGATGCAGAAAATCACCCTATTCTTAAGGTGCTTCCTCCTCACTCCCCAACCATCCTTCCCAACTCCTATCCCCCTCCTCCGCTTCAATTACACATTGTCACCGGTACCCCTTATAAACAAACATGGCGTCGCCCTTGTCATTCGGCGATTGAGTCAGAATTAACCATCGGGAATCTGGATAAACTAAAGGGATAATTGCTATCATTACCAAAAATAATATACTGAAAATCAGTGTCTAACTGTGACATTGCTAAGGCATTTTTTAAGTTTTGGCAACTTTGGAGATATAAATTTCGAAACAATTTTGCAAGGGCACCAGGCCAAGACAAGCGGGATCAGTAGCCATATCTGTGCTTGTAGACTACTGCGGCTTGAAACCTTTTCCACAAATTAAAATAGTTGGATTTGGCCGAAATATGTTTGAATTGTTACCTTGTTTCGTTTTGTCGCTGTGTGTACATCTGGCTGCACTTAACGTTATGACAGGACAGCCTGACTGTCAACAACGTCTGAACGTGGCCGTGACGTCCCATAGACTAGGGTTAGAGTAGCTTCCCTTTGACAAAGGGCAGCTACTCTAGCGGACAGACTGATGGATTGCCGCGAAAGGCACGTAAAAACAATTGTTGTTTTGCGTATATGTTGCTTCGCCACTGTATAAGAAACAGATTTCAGTTGGAACTATAGTGGCTACTGTCACTGTCCGACTTAGACATCACTTACCCTGTGACATAATAAATATTAATGCGTGCATTCCACGAAAACTCGCAATGTTTCCATAATGTTAGTGAGAGAGGGAAAGCGATTTTCAAGCACAGAATTAAAGTTTGGTTTGGTTTGGTTTGTTGTTAAAGGCCGCACTCAGCAATATTCCAGCTATATGACAGCGGTCTGTAAATAATCGAGTCTCGACCAGACAATCCAGTGATTTACATCATGAACATCGATCCACGCAATTGGAATCGATGACATGCATCAACCAAGTCAGCGAGCCTGCCCACCCGATCCTGTTAGTCGCCTTTTACGACAAGCATAGTCGCCTTTTACGGCAAGCATGAGTTGCTGAAGACCTATTCTACCGCGGAATCTTCACGAGATACAGAATTAAAGAATGACATTATGTGATAGAGAGGTTATCACGCTTGTGTGTTTGGGGATGGTAAATATCCTGCATTAGGAATAAACATTGTATTTAGCGATGGTAAATATCCTGCATTAGGAATAAACATTGTATTTAGCGATGGTAAATATCCTGCATTAGGAATAAACATTGTATTTAGCGAGCTAAATACAATGTTTATTCCTAATGCAGGATATTTACCATCCCCAAACACACAAGCCTGATGACCTCTATGTACGTGTAGATTTGCGTAAGAGGCATGAGGGATCCAGTAATATCTAACCAAAGCTATGATTCATGACACCTGATGCGCATACAAGTGCACAGCAAATCAACGGCATTTTCATAAGAAAAGCATACCATTACCTTTCCTTTTGCAAGTTGGTGCTCCAAAGTTAGATGAGTCCCGGGTAGCTTTGCACTTGCAGTTATAATTGTGCATCTGTTGTAATTACTTGCGTAAATGTGGACGGTTGTCAGACTCTCTTAAACTTAATGTCCGGTGTTTGTGCAATTTGCTTCCTGTGAAATACGTTTTATGGTTGCGCTACAATCCACAATGAAACACAGCTCCGTTATTCATTATTTGCATTCTGAAAACATCACAGGTCAAAGCGCAGTTTCACATACATGTATTAACAATGGAGAATTCATCCGTGGTATTGTATCGTATTTCCTCTCACAAACATTGATATAAAGTAGTTATATCTACAACATTCGTTTTTATTGTAAGGGCGCACCAATATGATGGTAGGAGCCACCTGGAGCTTCCAAAGTTTCCAAACGCCCATATTCAGGTACAATAATGCATCTCCACCAATTTTTAAAATGAACAAACTCCATTAATTGGTATTACAGTAAACTACGATTAAAACGAACACGCTTATAACGAACTGACGGATATAACGAACTTACCTGTTGGTCCCGACTATTTGCTTTAGTTATGCTGTATATTTGCTTATAACGAACTACGGTTATAACGAACTAAAATTAGTAGTCCCTTTGAGTTCGTTATAACCGTACTTTACTGTACATAGAAAATCTCACCTTCGTGTCTTTTGTCTTATCAAATTTATCAACACGAGTCGATAAAGGTTTAAACGCCGAGGTTTGTTCAGTGTTGAATTATTTATTCAATATCTTTTGGTAAAAACCGGGGTGCATACTATGTAGATCCGCGTGAATTTAATTCTCAGTTTATCATGTGGTGAAATGTATATGTTCACGATGGTTTTCTTTCATCTCATGATAGACGCGCGGGTTTACACAATGTGCACACCGTTTACGTTTATACCCCCATTAAATTAATTTGTTAATACATTGTTATATGGAACTACAGAATACGTTTTCTGTTTTTTAAACCGAACCTGTGTCAACGATATGTTACTGATATACAATGAATTCAGCATATTTCATTAGCAGCAATCTACTACTGATATGGTTTTAATGTTTATTATCTGGCAGTTTTCATATCATAACCAACATTGCCCCGACATCCGATTTGATATGGGGTATGATAAGAAAACTGCCAAATAATAGTTAATTGGTTGTTGTTTAACGCCGCACTCAGCTATCTTCCAGCTATTTGAAGGGGCGGTCGGGTAGCCTAGTGGTTAAAGGGTTCGCTCGTCACGCCGAAGACCCGGGTTCGATTCCCGACATGGGTACAATGTGTGAAGCCCATTTCTGGTGCCCCCCGCCGTGATATTGCTGGAATATTGCTTTAAGCGACGTAAAACCAGCTCACTCACTCACTCCAGCTATATGACGGCGGTCCATAAATAATCGAGTCTGGACCAGGTAATCCAGTGATTGACATCATGAGCATCGCAATTGGGATCCACGCAATTGGGATCGATGACATGCATCAACCAAGTCAGCGAGCCTGACCTACCAAACCCCTTAGTCGCCTCTTAGGCCAAGCATAGTCGCCTTTTACGGCAAGCATGGGTGCCTGAAGACCTATTCTAACCCGGATCTTAATGCTGTTGATTTTGCACCGTGCTTCACAAGCTCGGACAAAGGCATATAAAAGACAATCGTGGAATTGACAATATATTACACACGTTAGTTTCAAAACCTTTTACCTTCACGAACACTATATTATAAATGTATTTAGTCAAATTATGACCTGCGCCACCACTGGGTCGAAATTAATTATTGCATCGGGTGCTGCTTGTCATTCTTGTAACATTACAATTGTAACATGTATCTATTTGCAAGTGAGTGCAATACATTTTCACCTTGTTTTGCTTCATGTCGCTGTCGGTTTTACGTACTTTCCGTGTCTGTTTCGCTTTTAAATCTGTCCTCAGTATTGGCCCAGATAGCATCTAGCTCCATCATTCTATTAACAAGTGATAGTAATACATGTTCACCTTGTTTGAAAGACGGTGTCACGGGAAAGCTGTCACGCTGATTTTACGAAACGAGTGTCAGAGTTCTTGTGTTTCCCGAGCGAGAGCGAAAGTTTCGTAAAATCAGTCTGACACACGTGTATGCGAGTGTGATAATGTCTTTGTTACTCCTTATTTCTTCATCATTTTGAGCTTCCCTTTAGAAAGAATGGACTGATCACGACTGCTGTCTCAGAAAATCTCTATTGCCGAATGACGTCAACAATCCCTAGCTATGACGTCGTATATAGCGTGACGTCATTCCGATCTTACGTCACAATAAGATTCGAAGATCGCCAACAATGCATGCCGCCGGGATGACGTAAACAATAAACTGGAGCATGTGAAGTGGTATTTGGATTAGTTCATATTCAATTTTTATCCACTCGGGGGTTGGTCGGGCTAGCCTAGTGGTTAAAGCGTTCGCTCTTCACGCCGAAAACCCGGGTTCGATTCCCGACATGGGTACAATGTGTGAAGCCCATTTCTGGTGTCCCCCGCCATGATATTTATTGAATATTGCTAAAAGCGGCGTAAAACCATACTCACTCACTCACTATCCACGCGGTTATTTCTAACCCTATGGACCCGTGAAAATCAGGGTTAGAATTGGTCTTCAGGAACCTATGACTTAAGAGACGACTATACTTCTCGTAAGAGGCGACTAACGGCTCCTGGTGGTCAGGCTCGCTGACTTGGTTGATGTATGTCATCGTATCGTAGATCGATGCTCATGATGTCAATTACTGGATTTTATCATCCAAACCTGGCTCCTACAGGAGATGTCGCTTGGATTAGATCAGGCGATATCTACATTGTAGATATCGCTGCAATGAAATTACATCACAATGCTTTGCAGACCATTGTGACGTCACTGGTTACCATGACGTCACAATCAAATGACATCACTAAGGCTCTGCTACTGAAGCTGTTAGCAGTACTTTTTACACTGCTAATTACTCTCTACAAATTGAAAAGGTTGGAAGAATGATGTTGGATGATAAATAAAATCTCACCCTCGTGTCTTTTGAGATCAAATATTTCAACACTCGTTGATAAAAGTGGCAAAAATCCTCGGCAAGCCTCGGAATTTTTCCACTTTTATCAACTCGTGTTGATATATTTAATATCAAAAGACACTCGGGTGAAATTCTCTATGTCTTATCCAGACTAGATTATTTACAGACCACCATCATATAGCTGGAATATTGCTGGGTGCGGCGTTAAACAATAAACAAACAAAACAAAGAACCTATGGGAAATAAAAGAGATAATTATATCTCGTATAATAATTTCATTATTACCCATTATTTTCTTCATCCTTTTCAGCTTTCCTTTAGAGAAATGCACTGATCATGATCGCCGTCTAAGAAAACCACAATTGTCGAATGATGTCAGCTATGACGTCATTTCTAATGTGACGTCATTTCGAGCATCACAATAAGATTCGAATGCTATGTGGAGAAAGTTTAAAACTCCGAGGCTTGCCGAGGAGTTTTTAACTTTTATCGACGAGTGTTGACATATTTGATATCAAAAGACACAAGGGTGAGATTCTATTTATCATCCAACATTATTCTTCCAACGTTTTCAGTTTGTAGACAGTAATAAGCAGTGTTTTAAGTGTAAAAAGTACTGCTAACAGCTTTAGTAGCGGAGCCATTAGTGATGTCATTTGATTCTGACGTCATGGTAACCAATGATGTCTGAATGTTCTGCAAAGCATTGTGATGTTATTTCATTGCAGCGATATCTACAATGTATCTACAATGTAGATATCGCTTCATCTCACCCTAGCCATAGCTCCTGTGGGAGCCAGTTTTGGATGATAAATTATGTGTTCATCCAAACGTTCAAAAAAACTGATATTTATTTGAGATAATCACGTCAGCGAACTTAAGCATCTAGAACGACAAAAGCGCCATAAAATCCCCATGATAGCCGTCTCAAATAATTGTCACGGGTAACAAATTGTCTATTCACCGTCAGTTGCCTCGATTTCGCAATGCGGAAATATAGTTATTGTAAACAACAGGTGAGTGGGCCAACGAGTGTGTAATCTTGATGTGGGGTGTTGCAACGTTTGTAGATTAGAAAACCTCGATATTTCTTATTCGTCCTATTTACTGAAGGAGTAAGTCTTCCCGCTATCAGGTAAGCAGTAAGTAGACATGTCATTGAACATAAACAGACCAATAAACACGACCTGAAAGCACGGTTCTGATGTTAGACCATTTAAGTTACAGTCATCTTAGCGCAAAGATAGCTTTGTGGAACGGAGCTGTTAAAATTGTTCCTTAGGCTAACGCTAGTCTCTGAAAATATATATATTTATAGAATCAAACAACTCCGCTTTAATTATTAATAACCCCAGGGAGACAGGAAATTCAGATTCTGTTGAAAGTCCAGATCGACTTGCTTCATTTAGGACTGTTGCATTATGTACAGTAAGGGCAGGGAGGAATGGAAAAGAATAAGGTTCAGGGACAGTGAGACAGGCCTCAGCAACCTATGACTGTCCTAAGACAATGCTAAAAGACACGGCTCGTGAAGATTCGGGGTAGAATCAGGTCTTCAGCAACCCATGCTTGCCGTAAATGGCGACTAAAGGGATTGGGTGGTCAGGCTTGCCGACTTGGTTGATGTATGTCATCGTATCGTATTGTTAAACAACAAACCAAACCAAACTAAAAGACACATACGGTACCCTGACATGGTGGGATGTTGCTTATTTTTAAATCAATCACTGGTTTCTTGAGCACAGGTTTCATCATAGCCGAGAGCAGCAAGAGCCGTCAACACACAGCTCTCGGCACTCAGCTAGCTGTATATCTATAGTAACCATCATTATCTCTTCTCTGACTAGGGGCGGTCGGGTAGCCTAGTGGTTAAAGCGTTCGCTCGTCACGCCGAAGACCCAGGTTCGATTCCCGACATGGGTACAATGTGTGAAGCCCATCTCTGGTGTCCCCAGCCGTGATATTGCTGGAATATTGCTAAAAGCGGCGTAAAACCATACTCACTCACTCACTCTTCTCTGACTATGTTCAGAGATAAAGATCGCTCAGGAACATGGCGACAGTAATGATCGGATCGTGTTAATTATGCCAGGGATTTAGCTGGGATCCAAGATTAACCCTCATGGTGCCTGGCCGTCAGCAGGCTTTGTATACTGCTCAGTGCCGCATTGTGATGACGTCACTGTTTCAAAGATGAACTCTGTATAAAAAGTTTTCTTATTTCTTCACACAGTTTTACCAAATTGTCTAGCATTCAGCTCAAGTTAATTGTATTTCAAACAGAATCTTAATTCACTAAATACAAAAGGGATATGCACTGTGTGAAAGTAGCTGGAAAGTTTGCTACTTTTCTATACAATTGTATTAATTGTACTGCAGGTGCCAAGTAAAGTCAAGTAAGCGCCCTTGTTTGAAATCTAAATGTCCAATAATTCATATCATTTGAAAGTGCATATCCTAGCAATGATAGAAATATGACATTTCATATGTCAAAGTGTACATTCATTTTTTATTGTCCATGAGGTTAGCTTACCAATAAGAAATGCCAATGAAAATGTCAGTGTGTTTGACATCAAAACATAATTGGCAGAAGTGGTCATGATTAGTTTATACACTGAATGTTTCAAAGATTATATTACTATAAGAATGACAGTTTGGATTATATATATCTTGATGAAATTCCGGTTACGTCCACATAGATTTCAGTGTCAGTGTTCTTTCATTAGCGTGATGAGTGATAAAAGACAACCTCAGAGTAATTGTCATGAACATTTTTAAGGGGCAAAAAGTAACAGATTACTAAATAGTCCAAACAATCCACAAAGTGATATTGCTCAATTTCAGATATCAGTATTATTTCTCGTGGTGTAGTGGTAGAGCATCTGCCCGGAGAGCGGAAGGTGCGGGGTTCAATCCCCGGCCACGTCATACCAAAAGACGTTTAAAGATGGTACTTGTAGTTACCCTGTCTGGCACTCGGTATTAAGGGGCTAGAACAAGGACTGGTCGGCTCGGAGTCAGTATACTGTGGCTGAGTGGGGTATTCACATTAAGCTGCAGCATGGTATCTCAGTGGGCTAGCACTATAATTGGTTGGTTTGTTGTTTAACGCTGCACTCAGCAATATTCCAACTATATGACGGCGGTCTGCCTGTAAATAATCAAGTCTGGACCAGACAATCCAGTGATTAATATCATGAGCATTGATCCACGCAATTGGGATTGATGACATTCACCTGATCACCTGACCACCCGATCCCGTTAGTCGCCTTTTATGACAAGCATAGTCGCCTTTTACGGCAAGCATGGGTTGCTAAAGACTTATTCTGACCCGGATCTTCACGGATCCCTAGCACTATTAAATCGGCATTAGTCGGACAAGTACAAGCAGCCATACACACGTGCATGCATGTCTTTTGGTTTGATGTGGCCCGGGATCGAACCCTGGACCTTCCAGTTCCACTCTCTGGGCGGACGCTCTACCACTAGACCACAGAGGCAGTCACATCAAGATATTAAACTTTCATACATACAATAGTACACATTTGCATTTAGACATTTGTCATTTGATTTACATCATTCCTCACATTTATGTGTCTACATTGTGTTCAAATGCGAAAAAACCTCTTCATTCCCATGTTACAATAATACTGGAAGTTATAAATACAAAATCCAGTATATATTATGCAAAATACCCAGCATATTACCAGGTATATAAAATCACAGAGATATCATAATATTTTCGTTTATGATATTTAACCCAATTGAATAGGATGGTTTATAATATGTAATATTTATTTTTATTCTTTCCTGTTATCTTTGAAGTAGAAATCACCTCTACAAGGCAGTACCATAAGCTATTATATATTAACCTTGTTGACACGAATTGGGATGTACCAAGATACCTTTGCCAGGGGTCCAGTAAAACAATTCCTTATCAGACATTTTGTACCTAACTAGATTTTGCCAGGGGTCCAGTAAAACAATTCCTTTTTGGACATTTTGTACCCAACTCTTGGTGCTACAGTGGGTATCGGGGTAGATCCGGGTAATGGGGGGTCAGGTACCCGGGTAGTAAATATGGACTTATCCCAGCCCTAGCTGTAAATACCATGGATATTATTGTGTGTCCCTCGGGACACAGTTTATTCTTTTTTTGCGTCCAATGTCAACATTTGTGAGTACTGGATGCACATATGTGCATCACATCAAACCCTGGATGGGGAGAGCCAATGATCTCCCTGTTACAAACCTATTAAACACAGTAACTATCCTAGTTTTCTTTTATCAATAGAAACTTTCATAATTTCTCAGAGCATTTGGTAGTTTTAACAAATTTTACTGTTGGTTTTAATTTTGTTACAGAAGCAAGTCAACTGACATAGAACATGGGAGGCAATTCGTCCACGTCAAGGGGTCAGGTGTTGGCACCAGCTGGGCCAGCAGGTCCCCCTGAACCTCCTTATCCTGGACCAGCTGCAGAATACAACTTCATCAACACACAGGTAGGTCTTCTACAAATATACAGCTGATTGCACAGGTAAGTCACATGCACCTGAGCACAGCTGCAGAATACAACTTCATCAACACACAGGTAGGTCTTCTACAAATATACAGCTGATTGCACAGGTAAGTCACATACACCTGAGCACAGCTGCAGAATGCAACTTCATCAACACACAGGTAGGTCTTCTACAAATATACAGCTGATTGCACAGGTAAGTCACATACACCTGAGCACAGCTGAAAAATACAACTTTATTAACACATATCAGGTCATCTACAAATATACAGCTGATTACACAGGTGAGTCACATGGACCTGAGCATGGCTGCAGAATACAGATTCCTCAATGCACAGGTAGGTCATCTACAAATATATAGCTTCATTACACCTGAATGCACCTGCTGAATGAAGCTTTCTAAATACACAGATAAGTCATCTACACCTATACAGCTTCATTACTCATGTAAGTCACATACACCTGAGCACAGCTGCAGAATACAACTTCATTAACACACAGGTAAGTCATCTACACCTATACAACTGATAACACAGGTAAGTCACTTTTAACTATTCTGCTTCATTGATACCTGTTGAAGTTGAACTACTGAACACAAGGGCAGAATACAACTTCATTGCTACAAGGCTTTGCTGTCATCATCATTGTCTTCCCCCTGTTTCAGGTGTCGATGACCAACAACATCAGCTTCTCTACAACACACAACATGGTGACCACCAACATTGACTCCTATTACCCAATCCTGGGACAGAAGTATGCAGAAGGTTTCCGTCTCCTCACCTTCTACCGCATACCTGGGGGAGCACAGCGCCAGGGGGGCCTCTTCAGCATGTCCATGGCTATACCATTCCAGGTGAGTTACAATAAAAGTACAATCTGAATGTTTGGAGGTATTTCGTACCAGTATCCACTAGTAGTGGGACGATGCACACATGCATCGGTGGATCATGATTTTTTGCTTCTCGATACAAGTATCGATCATAATCGCACACAAAGTAAAAAGTATCGATTCTTACCTTAAATGTATTCTTTAATATATGTTACACCACACACTAATTTCTAGTGAAAATGAGTATTAAAAACGTAAATATTTTCATCCATTGCGCCATACTTTACACTGCATACTGTAAATCGTCAGTGTGTCAGGTATTTGGCCATCATGTCTATGAAAAGATGGCTTAGACCACAGATAAGAGCACATGCAAGTATCGTGATGCGAATCAGATCGTGAGCAAGGTATCGTGATACGTATCAGATCGTGAGCAAGGTATCGTGATACGTATCAGATCGCACAGTTGGTGTTTCTTCCCAGCCCTTGTATCAGATATAAATATTTGTGTCTAAAATAGAGATAATGTGCTATTTTTTGGCACCATGACATGATATTCTATTCATGATATACTGAGTCTCTGACAGTTGATGTTTGAAGGGCTAGTGATAAAATGTCTATCACTCACTCACTCACTCACTCACTCACTCACTCACTCACTCACTCACTCACTCTGCTGTTCCCAGGGTGTGTTCTGTCGCTACCCTCAAATGCCGAGTCAACAAGGCTGGCAGCTGCGCGTTGTCAAGTCTGTCATGGTGGCCCAGAGAATGGGTCATGGCTTGATCCAGCTCAACCCCCAGATTGTGGGAGACTCGTCTCAGATCTACCAGGCCATCGTGGACAACACTAATACAGGCGGGCGTCTCATTTGTGTCGAGATGACAGGGCAGCAACAAGGCCAGGGCTTCAGTGCCGCCATGCAAGGAATCAGCCCGAGTAAGTAGTGCAGTAAGACCCTGTGGAGATTCCAGGTTAGAACTGGTCCCCTGCAACCAATGCTTGTCGTCATTCCATGGAGAATTCATGTCAGAATTGGTCCCCAGTAAGTAGAGCAACAAGACTGGTCCCTAGTAGGGCTGGGAAGAGTCCAAATTTACTACCCGGGTACCCACTCCCATATTACCCGACCCTACCTGGGAACCCACTGTAGGTCTTAAGAGATACAAAATGTCCGATTGGGAATTTTTTTACCACAGCACTTGCAAATGTATTTACATTCATGTATCATACACTGACATTGACTTAAGTTATATCTTTATTCAACCATATGAAAAGTCAGGAGGAATGGGTGCATAGTCAGAAAGAAATGCGAACATTAGTGACTTGTAGTGTAACCATAGAGTTCGAGATAGCTTTTGCCATTAAACTATATATCACATGACTTAACACGGGTCCGGGTAGTCCTGTGGGTACCCGGGTCCTACACAGTACCCACCCGACCCGGGTACCCGAGTTACCCGTCCCAGCTCTAGTCCCCAGTGAGTAGAGCCACAAGACCCGTGGAGATTCCAGGTTAGAATTGGTCCCCAGCAACCTATGCTGGTCATCATCCCATGGAGATTCAAGGTTAGAACTTGTCCCCAGTGAGTAGGGCAGAAAGACCCTATGGAGATTCCAGGTTAGAATAAGTCCCCAGTGAGTAGGGCAGAAAGACCCTATGGAGATTCCAGGTTAGAATTGGTCCCCAGTGAGTAGAGCCACAAGACCCTATGGAGATTCCAGGTTAGAATTGGTCCCCAGTGAGTAGAGCCACAAGACCCTATGGAGATTCCAGGTTAGAATTAGTCCCCAGTGAGTAAAGCCACAAGACCCTATGGAGGTTCCAGGTTAGAATTAGTCCCCAGTGAGTAGGGCAGAAAGACCCTATGGAGATTCCAGGTTAGAATTGGTCCCAAGTGAGTAGGGCAGAAAGACCCTATGGAGATTCCAGGTTAGAATTGGTCCCCAGTGAGTAGGGCAGAAAGACCCTATGGAGATTCCAGGTTAGAATTGGTCCCCAGTGAGTAGGGCAGAAAGACCCTATGGAGATTGCAGGTCAGAATTAGTCCCCAGTGAGTAGGGCAGAAAGACCCTATGGAGATTCCAGGTTAGAATTGGTCCCCAGTGAGTAGGGCAGAAAGACCCTATGGAGATTCCAGGTTAGAATTGGTCCCCAGTGAGTAGAGCCACCAGACTGTGTGGTGATTCCAGGTTAGAATTGGTCCCCAGTGAGTAGGGCAGAAAGACCCTATGGAGATTCCAGGTTAGAATTGGTCCCCAGTGAGTAGGGCAGAAAGACCCTATGGAGATTGCAGGTCAGAATTAGTCCCCAGTGAGTAGGGCAAAAAGACCCTATGGAGATTCCAGGTTAGAATTGGTCCCAAGTGAGTAGGGCAGAAAGACCCTGTGGAGATTCCAGGTTAGAATTGGTCCCCAGTGAACAGGGCAGAAAGACCCTATGGAGATTCCAGGTTAGAATTGGTCCCCAGTGAGTAGGGCAGAAAGACCTTATGGAGATTGCAGGTCAGAATTAGTCCCCAGTGAGTAGGGCAGAAAGACCCTATGGAGATTCCAGGTTAGAATTGGTCCCCAGTGAGTAGGGCAGAAAGACCCTATGGAGATTCCAGGTTAGAATTAGTCCCAAGCAAATTATGCTGATCTTAATCCTGTGGTGATTCCAGGTTAGAATTGGTTCCCAGTAACCTATGCTGGTCATAATCCCATGGAGATTCCAGGTTAGAGCTGGTCCCCAGTGAGAAGGGCAGAAAGACCCTATGGAGATTCCAGGTTAGAATTGGTCCCCAGTGAGTAGAGCCACCAGACTGTGTGGTGATTCCAGCTTAGAACTGGTCCCCAGTGACTAGGGCAGAAAGACCCTATGGAGATTCCAGGTTAGAACTGGTCCCCAGTGAGAAGGGCACAAAGACCCTATGGAGATTCCAGGTTAGAATTGGTCCCCAGTGAGTAGAGCCACCAGACAGTGTGGAGATTCCAGGTTAGAACTGGTCCCCAGTGAGTAGGGCAGAAAGACCCTGTGGAGATTCCAGGTTAGAATTAGTCCCCAGCAAGTTATGCTGATCTTAATCCTGTGGTGATTCCAGGTTAGAATTGGTCCCCAGTGAGTAGAGCCACCTGACTGTGTGGTGATTCCAGGTTAGAATTGGTCCCCAGTGAGTAGGGCAGAAAGACCCTATGGAGATTCCAGGTTAGAATTGGTCCCCATTGAGTAGAGCCACCTGACTGTGTGGTGATTCCAGGTTAGAACTGGTCCCCAGTGAGTAGGGCAGAAAGACCCTATGGAGATTCCAGGTTAGAATTGGTCCCCAGTGAGTAGGGCAGAAAGACCCTATGGAGATTCCAGGTTAGAATTGGTCCCCAGTGAGTAGGGCAGAAAGACCCTATGGAGATTGCAGGTCAGAATTAGTCCCCAGTGAGTAGGGCAGAAAGACCCTATGGAGATTCCAGGTTAGAATTGGTCCCCAGTGAGTAGGGCAGAAAGACCCTGTGGAGATTCCACGTTAGAATTGGTCCCCAGTGAGCAGGGCAGAAAGACCCTATGGAGATTGCAGGTTAGAATTGGTCCCCAGTGAGTAGGGCAGAAAGACCCTATGGAGATTCCAGGTTAGAACTGGTCCCCAGTGAGTAGGGCAGAAAGACCCTATGGAGATTCCAGGTTAGAATTAGTCCCAAGCAAATTATGCTGATCTTAATCCTGTGGTGATTCCAGGTTAGAATTGGTTCCCAGTAACCTATGCTGGTCATAATCCCATGGAGATTCCAGGTTAGAGCTGGTCCCCAGTGAGAAGGGCAGAAAGACCCTATGGAGATTCCAGGTTAGAATTGGTCCCCAGTGAGTAGAGCCACCAGACTGTGTGGTGATTCCAGCTTAGAACTGGTCCCCAGTGAGTAGGGCAGAAAGACCCTATGGAGATTCCAGGTTAGAACTGGTCCCCAGTGAGAAGGGCACAAAAACCCTATGGAGATTCCAGGTTAGAATTGGTCCCCATGCAGTGAGTAGAGCCACCAGACTGTGGAAATTCCAGGTTAGAACTGGTCCCCAGTGAGAAGGGCACAAAGACCCTATGGAGATTCCAGGTTAGAATTGGTCCCCAGTGAGTAGAGCCACCAGACAGTGTGGAGATTCCAGGTTAGAACTGGTCCCCAGTGAGTAGGGCAGAAAGACCCTGTGGAGATTCCAGGTTAGAATTAGTCCCCAGCAAGTTATGCTGATCTTAATCCTGTGGTGATTCCAGGTTAGAATTGGTCCCCAGTGAGTAGAGCCACCTGACTGTGTGGTGATTCCAGGTTAGAATTGGTCCCCAGTGAGTAGGGCAGAAAGACCCTATGGAGATTCCAGGTTAGAATTGGTCCCCATTGAGTAGAGCCACCTGACTGTGTGGTGATTCCAGGTTAGAACTGGTCCCCAGTGAGTAGGGCAGAAAGACCCTATGGAGATTCCAGGTTAGAATTGGTCCCCAGTGAGTAGGGCAGAAAGACCCTATGGAGATTCCAGGTTAGAATTGGTCCCCAGTGAGTAGGGCAGAAAGACCCTATGGAGATTGCAGGTCAGAATTAGTCCCCAGTGAGTAGGGCAGAAAGACCCTATGGAGATTCCAGGTTAGAATTGGTCCCCAGTGAGTAGGGCAGAAAGACCCTGTGGAGATTCCAGGTTAGAATTGGTCCCCAGTGAGCAGGGCAGAAAGACCCTATGGAGATTGCAGGTTAGAATTGGTCCCCAGTGAGTAGGGCAGAAAGACCCTATGGAGATTCCAGGTTAGAACTGGTCCCCAGTGAGTAGGGCAGAAAGACCCTATGGAGATTCCAGGTTAGAATTAGTCCCAAGCAAATTATGCTGATCTTAATCCTGTGGTGATTCCAGGTTAGAATTGGTTCCCAGTAACCTATGCTGGTCATAATCCCATGGAGATTCCAGGTTAGAGCTGGTCCCCAGTGAGAAGGGCAGAAAGACCCTATGGAGATTCCAGGTTAGAATTGGTCCCCAGTGAGTAGAGCCACCAGACTGTGTGGTGATTCCAGCTTAGAACTGGTCCCCAGTGAGTAGGGCAGAAAGACCCTATGGAGATTCCAGGTTAGAACTGGTCCCCAGTGAGAAGGGCACAAAGACCCTATGGAGATTCCAGGTTAGAATTGGTCCCCATGCAGTGAGTAGAGCCACCAGACTGTGGAAATTCCAGGTTAGAACTGGTCCCCAGTGAGTAGGGCAGAAAGACCCTATGGAGATTCCAGGTTAGAATTAGTCCCCAGCAAGTTATGCTGATCTTAATCCTGTGGTGATTCCAGGTTAGAATTGGTTCCCAGTAACCTATGCTGGTCATAATCCCATGGAGATTCCAGGTTAGAGCTGGTCCCCAGTGAGAAGGGCAGAAAGACCCTATGGAGATTCCAGGTTAGAATTGGTCCCCAGTGAGTAGAGCCACCAGACTGTGTGGTGATTCCAGCTTAGAACTGGTCCCCAGTGAGTAGGGCAGAAAGACCCTATGGAGATTCCAGGTTAGAACTGGTCCCCAGTGAGAAGGGCACAAAGACCCTATGGAGATTCCAGGTTAGAATTGGTCCCCATGCAGTGAGTAGAGCCACCAGACTGTGGAAATTCCAGGTTAGAACTGGTCCCCAGTGAGTAGGGCAGAAAGACCCTATGGAGATTCCAGGTTAGAATTAGTCCCCAGCAAGTTATGCTGATCTTAATCCTGTGGTGATTCCAGGTTAGAAATGTTCCTCAGCAACCCTGACGTCAATCAGCATTGAGTATCACTGAAATGCACATGGCAAATAGTGAAAAGTTATTACACTTGATCTTCCTTACTTTATGGGTAATATAAGTCAATAAGTTCTTATAATGGGACCCGTGAAGATCCGATCTTCAGCAACCCATGATAGTCATAAAAGGTGACTATGCTTGTCGTCAGAGAAGACCAACAGGATCGGGTGATCAGGCTTGCTGACTTGGTTGATGCATGTCATCGTATCCCAATTGTGTTGATCGATGATCATAATAGCAATCACTGGATTGTCTGGTCCAGACTCGATTATTTACAGACCGCCGTCACATAGCTGGAATATTGCTGAGTGTGGCGTTAAACAACAAACATATAAACAAACAAACAGAACTTATTATTGGTCTCATTTTATGATTTGTTCACAATGTTTCTAACCATTTTTCCAGTGGGTGCAACTCACATTACGAACTTAACTCATCATGCATGTTAAATAATAATGTGCTCTTTGTCATTTTCAGTAATGGGAGTAGACTTGTTCTTCGAGATCCCCAATTCCCCAATGTCCGAGCGTTACCTCTACCAGTGTGTTCCCTGTCCAGTGACCATACAGGCTAATCTCTCCTTCGGGACATCGGGTGTCAGGGTCATGTGTGACTGGAATGGGATGCTTGGATCCCAGTTATCCCAAGGCTGGAAGTTGGTCGAGATTTTCTTCGACATGGGCCAAGCACGTCACGGAGCATTCTCGACATCAGCGTCGCTCAACTCTGTGTGGTTCTTCGAGAAACCTTCGTCGCGCGCCAATAACAACACCCCAGTTTACCAGGGGACAGTTGTGGAGCACTTCGTCTCCATGACATCAGGCTTCGGTGGGGTACATGCCACCACGAACTGGGAGCCCATCATACAACAGCTGGGGCTGAAGGGATGGGAACTTGCTTGTTTTGTGGAGACCCCAGAAAGCAGGATGACTGGTTTTGGGAAAGCAGAAATGAAAGTTTTGTTATTTTTTCAGAGGCCTATCCTACCCCCAGTAGGTGGAGCCCACCACCCCATGCCCGGCCCCGCCCAGCCCCACCCAGGGGGCCCAGCACCCCCAGCAGCAGGCTTCCTATATGACCAAGGACATCCTCAGCCCCCATCTAACGAGAAACCTCCCCCATACCAGGGATAGACTTTTATGAGAACAAATTCACCCAAGTCCATTGTCCCAGCTTGTATTACCTATCTGTTGGTTTAGAGGTTGGAAGTTACAGTAGATATATAAGGGTACTGTTTATATGTTATTCCATGTCGGTCCATGTTGTTTTTTGTATATTTTGAATTCCATTAACCTCAGTGTATTAAACAAGATGGCTGATCCATCCGGTTTACCAGATGCAAATATTACAGTCTACATGTTTACAGTTTGAGAATAAACACAATTAATTTTGACTGCGGGTCAAAGACGCAAACATAGTTTGGCTGTTTGAATCCTTGAATTGATCAAGTTGCATGTGACTGGCCTTTCTATTCTGGTAAGATCTTCATGGCTTTGGACCCCAGAAATCAACTGCTTAGAGTACCTGGACTTAAAAATGGACGAACTACTGTTGATCTCAGAAAATAAAGGATGGAAATTGATTTATTTTTCACTTGACTGCCAAAATAGTCCAACTCCCTAATGTTATCATTGAAATCTCAAGTTAAACCAACAGGAGAATTAATTTTATGGGTGAATGTTTAGTATGATAATGCTTACATCTTAAACACAATCATGTCTGTGGCCAGTATCACTGCATCTTTATATATCATTTGTAGAAACTGATGCATGCTTTAATTAGTTTTTAGTTTTGTACAGAACATATGGTATCCCTCCCTCCCTCCCTTCCCCCTCCCTCCTCCCTTCTGTTTTGTACAGAACATATGGACTCCCTCCCTCCTGTTGTGTACAGAACATATGGTACATGTATCCCTCCCTCCCTCCTCCCTTCTGTTGTGTACAGAACATATGGACTCCCTCCCTCCCTTTTGTTGTGTACAGAATATATGGACTCCCTCTCTCCCTCCTGTTGTGTACAGAACATATGGTATCCCTCTCTCCCTTCTGTTGTGTACAGAACATATGGACTCCCTCCCCCCCCTCTCCCTTCTGTTGTGTACAGAACATATGGACTCCCTCCCTCTTTCTCCCTTCTGTTGTGTACAGAACATATGGACTCCCTCCCTCTTTTGAATAAGATTCAGTGGCTGTGGCCTATTCATTGTAAATCATATTGTGATATGTTGTATGTTATAACAGTGATGTGTGTGACTCAAGCAGATTCTGTGATTTGACCAGATAAAGCGACTGAGGGATACAGAGTTTATAAAAGTCCATCCGAGTTGGTCAAGACCACATGCAACCTGGCAGGGCTCTATACTGATGTATGGTCTATGCAATGTCCAGCTTATTCTAGCTCACCATCATTGCCTTATTAAACAATACAATGAGGACAGATGTTTGAAAACAACTTAATTTCCCTTTTTTGGTCTACTGCATTTATTCACCATCAAGAGAGTTTGGGTGATTTATGTGCACACAATCTGATTGGCTGTTGCTAGAGAATAAGCCAATGGCTACAAACACAGTCATATACAGCTACAAATATATCAGGCATGATATTATTTTTTGTTATTCCAGTGTGTTTTTCACAATCTAGAAAAAACTTGTTCGATGGCTTCCATAAAAAAGTGAATAATTTGGCCTGGCCTAACTATAAGTCACTCTGATTCATTCCAGTCTGATTCATGATTCAACTGTAGCTATAGTCAGTAGCATGTCTCCTACGTCATGGTCTTGTGGGTGACTAACAGGATCAGGTGGTCAGGCTCGCTGACTTGGTTGATGCATGTCATTGCATCCCAATTGCATGGATCGATGCTCATGATGTCTATCACCGGATTGTCTGGTCCAGACTTGATTATTTACAGACTGCCGTCATATAGCTGGAATATTGTTAGGTGCGGCATTAAACAACAAACAAACAAACAAACAAACAAAACACAAATGCAGTCTTGTGTCGAGACAAGTTCCTAGTGCTGTCTGTTACTGGACCTGATCACAGACGTTGCAGGGGCGTTGCAGTACGTACTTGAACATGACTCTAGCTGATAGGGAGTCCCCTATTTGTCTTTCTCCATGTGCCATGATATAAGACACCATGCCGACACACCAATCAGTGACTCGGATATTTATTGTATTTAAATCAAGATCTTCTTTTAAAGCATAATACTTTTTGAAGCTAATATTTGTTATAACTGTTTATGAAATATTTCTTTCTGAACAGATATGGTTGGTGGGTGAAATAAAAAAACAAAATAAATTACAAATATATATTCGAGATCTCTTGAAATACTATCAGTAGATGTACATTGATGTAAAGTACATTGAAATGAAAAAAATGTGTAAATGCCCTGCTAAGCTTCTGCTTTGAATGGCAAGTCAGAACTCCTTTTGGGTTACATAAAAAAACGGCTTTGTTTTCAGTGTGTATGATTTGATTTGTATTGAGATAACTCACATGATATTCACTTAGTGCTGTATATAGATTGAAAATGTTTTATATTTACCTCATATTAAAGTGAAGCACAGTGGGAGATGGCTGACTTTGTATGTGTTGTTGTTGATTATTTACATTGCACTGAAGAAATTTATCCTGTTATCCATGATATGACTAGTACTTTTGATGTGATTGTGGGACACTGTGACACTTCACAAAAGCCATAGGACAACTGATTATATACATTTTAGTTAATCCTTGTCCAAGTATTGTGCCTTTTACCATTTAGTTATAGATTTTTCTGTTAACTATTTTGTCACTTCCCAGCAATAAAGTTGGATCATAACTCATTTGAGAATATGTGTTTGTTTCATATATGAAAAACTGTCTTTTTTAGAGTTATCAAAATTTTATAGTTAAGGCCTAATAAATTTCAATACATTCTTCTAAAATTGTGAGGCAAATGAATTTAGTTTTTTAAACAAACTGATCAAGGTCTGTGAATTTCAACAGATGTAACTTCTATGAAGCGTGAGTGTTTAGTAGGGCTATACAGTATAACCTCTAATAGATCCTGGGGATCCAATATATGCCGGCCTCAACTTGACACCCTAGGTCACACGCTCTGTCAAAAATATAGAAGCCTGGTCTCTAATACTGTCATATGCTGGTGATTAATATGACTGTTTCCTGCTAATGTATTCTTTGAATGACTAGAATGTGGATCTTGGAAAGGTAATATAGTGAGTTTACACTGACACCAATAAACAGACCCGACACCAGGTCAACGGCTTTCTCGAAATCAATAGATGCCCGGACGTCTAATAGAGGAAATTTCATCAAGTTAGGCAAAAAGGCAGCACACTTAAACCCATTTTCTTTATTGAGGTGTGTGGTGGTGAGGCATCAAGTGATGATAATCCAGTAGTCAGTTGCTCAACAGGAGACAGCATATATATTATTGTCCAAATCCATTTTACTTTCATGGCGACATGACCCGTGAACATCCGGGGTAGAATAGATCTACAGCAACCCATGCTTGCCATAAACTGCGACTCAAGCTTGCTGACTTGGTTGATGCATGTCATCCATCCCAATTGCATGGATAGATGCTCATGATGTCAATTACTGGATTGTCTGGTCCAGACTCAATTATTTACAGACTGCCGTCATATAGCTGGAATATTGCTGGATGCGGCATTAAACAACAACAAAAACAAATCATGGTGATATATACCGGTATTGGTCAAAATGCATGTACATGTACATGCATGGTGATATATAGCTGTATTGGTCACAATGCATGTACATGCATGGTGATATATACTGGTATTGGTCAAAATGCATTTACATGCATGGTGATATATACTGGTATTGGTCAAAATGCATGGACATGCATGGCAACATATACTGGTATTGGTCAAAATGCATGGACATGCATGGTAATATATACCGGTATTGGTCAAAATGCATTTACATGCATGGTGATATATACTGGTATTGGTCAAAATGCATGGACATGCATGGCAACATATACTGGTATTGGTCAAAATGCATGGACATGCATGGTAATATATACCGGTATTGGTCAAAATTAATTTACATGCATGGTGATATATACCGTATTGGTCATGCAAAATTCATTTACATGCATGGTGATATATACGGTAATTGGTTAAAATGCATGTACATGCATGGTGATATATAGCTGTATTGGTCAAAATCCATTTACATGCATATTGATATATACCGGTATTGGTCAAAATCCATTTACATGCATGGTGATATATACCAGTATAGGTCAAAATGCATGGACATGCATGGCGATATCATCTTCCCGAGGCAAGGGAGTTACCTGGCTATAAAAGTCCAGTTTCCATCCTTGCTGAACTTGGCTGGGATTATGGAGTTATGTTTTAGCTGGACCAATGAGTCAATGCATAATCCAATCAAAATCGCGAAACGAAATCAAAATCCGGCTCCTAAATCTTTTCATGTTTTTAATCAAGGTGCTCAAGTGATCTGATGCATATCGCTAGGTAAGACCCGTTTTGTTACAATATAGATCTTGATTATCGATCAGATCTTCTTCACTGGGCGCTGCCATTTTGTTTGAAGCAAAGGTAAGTGATATCAGAGGTGGAATCTGATTGGTCAATTGGAGGGATATAGAAGGGACATAACTTGTAATAGCCACTGGTGGCGCTACGATCGAATAAAAAAGTTCCGGCCTTGTTCAGCAAGGGTGGAAACTGGACTTTTACCAACATTAAGTCAACAGATATTTTCCAAATCTTTTCATGTTTTTAATCAAAGTGCTCAAGTGATTTGATGCACATGGCTAGGTAAGACCTGTTTTGTTACAATATAGATCTTGATTATGGATCAGATCTTCACTGGGCGCTGCCATTTTGTTTGAAGCAAATGTAAGTGATATCAGAGGTGGAATCTGATTGGTCAAAAGGAGGGATATAGAAGGGACATAACTCGTAATAGCCCAAAAATTCCGGTCCTTGTTTGGCAAGGGTGGAAACTGGACTTTTACAGTCAGTTAACTCCCTTGCCTCGGGACGATGTGCGATAAATACCAGTATTGGTCAAAATGCATGTACATGCATGGTGATACATGTATATACCGGTATTGGCATATGATACAAGGTTTTTTTGTGTCTATAACATGCAAAAGGACACAAGTTGTTGATGGTATGTCTGTTTATTGACGAAATAATATTTAGTGTGTCATACACCTCAGGTCGCTCCTGTTGAACTATCACTACTACATACAAGAGTAACTGTCAATGAGATAAAACGTGAGCGTGATCTAAAACATTACTTCTACTTACAATACATAAAATGATAATGCAGCACACTGTAAAAAGACCAACTAAGGTGTTCTTGAATGTTTCAGGGTAGGATCAGCTAAAATTATGTACATCACAAAACGTGCTCCAAAATATACATCAAGACTCTTCCTACAAATATATGGCTACCAAAACACGAAAGACAACGTCCTGAATCAGTTTTAGGGTGGAGATAATATATGAAAAAATGTACCAGAAGCAGACCACTGTCATCAATCACTTAGATGACATTGATTAACTCATTTGTGAACTATGCAAAATTGCTTGTACAAAGTTTTACCCACATTTTACATTCAGACATCATTTTCAGACTCAAAATTCTTTGGTTCAGTGAAACTCCTGAATTTCAATCACAATCATTAATTCTGGAAAATATAACTGTCCATTCTATGTAATTCTCTACTTAACATCTTTGTGTATACAAAATACTCCAGCTTTCAGTAATAGTAAATACAATTGAGTGACACAATAAAAAAAATAACACGTTTCTTTCAAAACGAATACCAAAGCTTTGCAAACTTCACATATTATACCCTTGTCGGGAATCGAACCTGGGTCTTCGGTGTGACGAGCTAACGCTTTAACCACTAGGCTACCTGACCTCCCCTCCCACCAGAGATCTTCAAATCTATCATGGTTGGAGGCAGGTTCAAGGCGCCGCCCATAACTGATAGTCAAAAGATAGTGTTGTATGTTGCTCGGTAAGAGCATGCACAACGGCAGAGTTCTCGTAACGGTACATAAATCACTGTGTCCGGTGTACTGAACATCTGCAATAATGTCCGTCACTGGCCACTAAAATTGTCAAAGGGTAGTTACCGTATTCGACGTAATCTCAAAATTAGAAATTAGGGGGAGGGGGGCTTATTAGACTATAATTATGGTGAAAAAAAAAACAGAATTGAAAGATTCTAAATTTCGTGATTTGGCGAACGCAGCAAATGACCGCTCTCAGTATTTTACCCCTTTAGATATATATGACTCTTACAAATAATACTACCTGTATACTTGCATGTATTACCTTCCATATCCACGTATTTGTGATAATGCAACTCCACATTAACAATGAGTAAAAATGATCGTCCATTGCGGTAATATTCTAACTATAACAATTCGGGCCTGATCATCATCTGATATGTTGGCAATTTAACATATGATGCCGAGAGATATTTTATTTCTTACATATTTCACCTGAAAATGTTATATATGTACTGATAACAAGGGATAAGGGGACAAACTGTGAAGGGAGGGAAACATGGCAAGTATTTAAAAATAACCAGTGATGATTTGACAAGGTCAGACCAATTTCATTACTTGCTTTATAGGTCTGTCTGTCACGTTTGGGCCATATTTGACAAACATCCTGAACATTCCGTAACAGGAGAGTGTGTCTAGTAACCTTTTATCTCAAAATTACATTTGACTTTGCTCAGACTCAGAGCAGCAAAGATTTCATCTTAGTATTTTCTTTTATGATGCTTTTAGCAATATTCCAGCAATATCACGGCGGGGGACACCAGAAATGGGCTTCACATATTGTACCCATGTCGGGAATCGAACCCGGGTCTTCGGTGTGACGAGCTAACGCTTTAACCACTAGGCTACCTGACCTCCCCTCCCGCCAGAGAGGTAGGGTTATATTATATACAAAATAATATGGTAATAGGTACAATGCAGTAGGAAGTTTAGTTACTTATTGTCTTATTTAAACAAGTGATTTATACTTCTAGTTCCTTCCTGCCTTCATATTTTAATGATAAATGTCATGAACAAGAAAAAATATTGGTCTGGCCTACACTCTCCAGAAACAACCATGTACTACCGTGACTTCAATGAAATATGAAGCTGATATATATTGAACAGCAGTAAATATTCTCCGATTTTGGTATTTTTCCCTCTTTCTCCTTCAGTACATAAAAAATACAGACAGAATTTGTGCCGCTTTCAACAGTATTTCAAATATATCATATATGTCAGCTTGATATGGGAGGAAAGCCCAAGTGATGCAGGTCTTAGAGGCTTACCACTTTGAACAGGTTTGGTCCTGACAAACCTAAACATCTGGTATTGAAACCCATATCACAGGATTGTGGCACGCCTAAGGGAGGTAACTCTGCACAGGCAATTGCTGTTTCTCAGACAACTGAGATGTCTGACTGACCGAGTATAGTTTTATGCCGCTTTTAGCAATATTTCAGCAATATCATGGCGGGGGACACCAGAAATGGGCTTCACACATTGTACCCATGTAGGGAATCGAACCCGGGTCTTCTGCGTGAGGAGCGAACGCTTTAAACACTAGGCTACCTGACCGCCCCTACAACTGAGATGTGTGCCCCTTGGCATTGCAGAGGCCTCTGTTATCAGCTCTGATCTACATATACTGTACCATTGATAAGATAGGGTACCATCATGAGACAAAAAGTAAATACTTTTTTCACCAAGCCACCACCTTAACCAAGAATGTTGTAAAAATGGAGGGTTCATTGATTAGAAATATAGACTGCTCAAGATCCCGAGCCAGAGTGGGACAATGGGACAACACTACATCTGCCCAGATTAAACAAAATTCTCAACATCCCTGTAATGGACAATATACTCTATATTTCCATGTTGGGAAAAAGACTGTATGCTGACCATTGCACTACTTTAAATCCTGTGCTGTGTTATAAGATCATAAAGGAAACACAACAGTTTTGATAGGAGTATGCTAGACATTTCAGAATGTCAAAGATGGCTTCTGATCCTTCAACCATTGCCATAGTCGATGTCAGGAAGGTGTGATGAACCGTGCAATGTCCCAACACCAGATTCCATTATGCATATGTGTCGTACCGGTATCTGAGCTGCATTGATGTTTGCATAGTGATTACTTCCAGCAAGTAGTGCCAGGTCCACCTGGTACTTGGGATTAAACAGCAACCTGGGTCCAGCCTGACTATGATCCTGGCTCCTGTTCTACATAGTGATCTTAGATCTACGGACATATTTGTTTATGTTAGAGTATGGCACAGAGCTCCAGATAACTTTTTGAGCAATTGAGTTTTTACTCTTTGGTTTCGATTTAATTGGGTTATTACATTTTTCATTGGGTAACTAATATTTTTTCACTCATCTATTCATCACTCTATTGGGTTTTCCCCTAAATTAGTGAACATTTTAAGATTTAAAAAAAATGAAATAATGTTTTGGTGGATATAACTGTTCTAAACACATAGGCTCGACTCGGAAAGTATATTAGCTCGTAATTGTGTTTCAGAAATTAGCTTTTTTGTACGCAGCTGAAAGGTTTTTTACACATGCTGTTTTTAATACATTTGAGTTTTTCATTTAATGCATGCGTTTCTGTACGCAAGTTAATTGAAAGTAATTGTGTTTTGAACATTTTGGGGGGGGTATTTTATGCAAATACGCTGCTTATCTGTAGCTCTGATGACACTCATTGAGCAAAGGTTACTTCCTGGAAGAAAGCCCGGGCCTTATTAAACAAAGTATCTTAGCACATGACTATCACAATTTGAATTAATGTATGGTAGTTACGATTGTCTCAGCGTTAAGATCATTTTCCAGAACTGCCATGGCCCCATTTCACAAAGTGTCTAAGTGCCACGACTGTCGTAAGTCTGAGTCAATGTGTGGAGATTGTGGAACGGGGCCCTGCTTTCACATCTAGCCTTGTACACACACCTTTACATCCTCCGTTATCCACTGTATTATGTCTCCATTTTATTTTAAAAATATCCTAAAGCCTTTTGTCATCACAAAGTTGTTTGGAAAGTGACCTCACCATCTCTCTCTTGTATCTGTAATGTCTCTGGCACTTGTGTTAAAATCAACAACCAATGCTAAATTTGGCTGAGATTCATATGTTGTGGTGTAAGAGTAACTTCCCTTGCACTACCGTATTCGACGTAATAAGCGCCCCGTTCTTATATGCGCCCACAGCGATATTTGCTAATATATTGGCTAGTGAACAATCCCAATTAGTACCCCTTCCGATTGATCAATGTACACAAGACTTATTTATTCATGTATAATACGCACTCGTGTGTTATATGCACCATTAATTATTGGCAATTAAATTCTGGAAAATTATATCTGTCGTACATAAACATTTCAGGCTGTCAGTATAAACCACAAAATTTACGATAAAATAATATTCTCATAAGAGCCCCCTATTTCTAATTTTGAGAGCACCCTGGGCGCTTATTACGTCGAATATGGTATATATACACAAGCTCCTTCCCAGCGCATGACACCTTTGTTACAGTCTCCGTAACATCACTGCCACCAGTGTGGGCGCGGCCATTACAAGTATCTTGAAATTTGCCCTCCTACCCCAAATGTATTAACGTTTATACTTTTGTCTATGTCTTTGGGAATGCCCCCTATCATTTTGAAAAGTTTTACGACTGACCATATTTCCCAGATGAATTTACCTTTTTGTTTGATTGATTGGATTGGTTCGAGATTGCAGATGATAATAAACCAATTTCTCCCTTACATTCTTACCATACCAATTACATGATAGTTGTACCCGGTAATGAAACAAAAAATCAAATTGACAAACAAAGAAAATAATTTAGTAGGGGTAAGAGTATTTGGCGTCACGGCAATCATCACTTGTTTGTAAACATAACGGTCATTCGGTTGCGAGTTCAAACTCCAAGCATGGTTGTGGCAACCTATCACAGTGGGGAGTTTTGACTGGTGGCAGCGAGAGTATAGGGAGCTCCACGAAAGGGCTATCGCTGGGCGCTGGGAGGAGTTGGATGTATACAGAGTTAATAGTCTCTGTAATTTGTTTGGACAGTTATTTTAGCATTGTCATTCAAATTGGACTGAACAATAGCTTGGTAATGGATGCGCTCTTGGCACATATGTCACAATAAAAAGAAGAAATAATTCACTCGATAATGAACAATGTCAACTTCATCCCCAGGCCATACCTTTTGATTACTTGAATAACATATCTTCCTGTCTGATTTTTTTAAAGAATATGAAAAAATCCAAAATTGAAACTGGCTAAGACTCTGATAAGAAGAAATTCTTTCGTTAGATATTGGACTGTGCTCTTGGACACCTCCAAACAATATAAAACTTGAAAGGAGTTGGCATGTACGAGAATGCTGACTAGTATTTGATGTAAGTTGTTTAACATAAAACAATTATTCAAATAATTTCTGCTTTTTCTCAGAATTACGAAATTTTGGCCACTTATTTTAAGAATTTAGCCTCCAACTGCAGTAACAACCTTAATAACTCCATGAATTAGTACCTCTGCCAGAAGAGCACTGACATGACCACTGTAAAGAGATTAAGTACTACCAGACCTGGCCTCTAGTACTGAGACCCCGACTGACAACCCCAAGTACCAGACAGACTCTAGTTCAGAAGAGAAGGAATACTGTGAATGATGACATCACAGACCCTTCTCAGAGTTTGGGCGGCGTGGGAGTGGTACGTTTCTTGCTCTTCGACTTGCTGTGTGAGGCTGACGGCGGAGCCGGAGAAGACGTGGGCTGTTTTAGCTGCAGCTGGTGGAACTGAAGGTGGGGCTGAGCAGCCGAGGACTGCGTCTTCTGGAAGGTGAGTTGCGGCTGGAGCTGTGACTGCTGCAGATGCGTCTGTCCCGTCAACTGCATCAACTGTTGCGGAGTGAAACTTGTCGTTGTCGTCTGACCTGGTTTACCCAGAGTCAGCGTAGATAGTGCTGCCATCTGCTGGCTAGTCAGGGTTTGTGTAAGCACTGGAACAAACAAAAATGGTTCGTTTCATCAAGAACTATTGTTCATGTTTTTAGCGTTTGAAATTTAGGGGAGTCCTGGAGGTTTCTTATGGAGGGACCTCCAAATCTTGAACTTTTAAAACTAGAGAGATAAGGACACCTTGACTTTCATTCTTATCTTTGAACACTTTGGCTCATTTTCAAATCAAAGCTGGCTTTTCTTCAAGGTAATGGAGTCCAAAGTTCTGACCTCTTATCAGTTGTAGAGTGTATAACATGTTCTCTGTGACATCACTGAAATGCTGTTCTCATAACTGACAGAGTTATAACTAATGTTGCTATGAGTGAGTGAGTGAGTTGGGTTAACGCCGCTTTTAACATAACTCCAGTTATATCATGGCGTGTCAGCTTATTGTGGGAGGAAAGCCTGAAGTGATGCAGGTCTCAGACGTTTACCTCTTCGGTGAAACCATCAAGCACGGTTATGGTGCTGACAAACCTAGACATTACTTTACATGCAGGGATAAAGAAAACCGTGTGTATTGTTTCATAAACCAAGCTGGAAATAGCAATTGGCTTATCTATGAGATTGGTTTATCTAGGGTCATATAGGGTACATGGAGACAGGAACATGTACAATGTCACAGTACGTACCGGTGGAGATGGGCACGGTGGTGGTCACAGCCCTAGCGCTGGTTTGAGTAGGGCCACCAGATGACTGGCCGGGCTTCACCTGTCCCCCGCGATGTTGCTGTTGCAGGTTTAGCAGCTGGATGCCCTGTTGTCCCTGAAGCTGCACCAAGTAGAAACACCAGTAAATCATTCCGGAATCATTCATTTTTCACAGCTGACAAAACAAAATCTCAACCTTACATTTCTAATTTCACAAACTATCCTGGACAAAAATATATTTTAAATTAGTTCACACTTAAAAATTGAATAATTCAATTTAGGAATGAAAACAGACGCCTCATAATCAAGGTAAAACAAAAGCATCAAGACGTTCTAATTCTTTCAGTTGCACATGAAGAGAATAAAGGCAATATGGTATTGAAGACAAAAAACATGTAATATAACCCAGTGTATGAGAGAACAAACCAAGTAGAATGCGAACCAATAATACTGAAAGCAGACTTGTAACATGCACCCTCAATGTAATGCATGTAAACAGAGTTATCTCCCTTAGAATATCACATTTCCCATACAACTGATAATTGTGTCCTTGATAGTCAAACCGTATTTCTCTCCATAGACATAACCTTGCTGGAACTGTGTTCTAAACTAAGCAATGTTGAACAATTACCCACAGTAACTAAGCAATACTAGAAGCCACATTTGCTTGGATGACATGGTGAACAACAATTAGCTGCAGTGCACATACCACATTTCATCAAGCCTAGTTGTAAGGTCAAATATTTGCCAATCATTTCTAAAACAGTAACAGAAGTTTCTTTCGACAAATCATTGCAAAGAAAAAGATCACCCATGGAAATTGACACAAATTTGAAATATATTCCATAATAAAACTTTTAGTAATGAATACCTATTGACATTATGCTCTTAAGTCACATTACTGTTTTATAGGCATTACTTAGAAGCTGACGGATGACAAGGTAGATGAATATCAACTTCATTATTTTACTCTTAAGACATTACTGACATTATCATTTGCATTATTATTTCAACTTTTGTACGAAGAAAGAATATTAGTGGACTGCAAAGAAACTGCAAATTTAACTCTCTTTTTTTAAAACCATTAAAATACAACGTAAACAACAATCTTAAAAAGGGTATTTTGGATGACTGACTGCAAAATGACATGCCCATTTGACTACACAGGAAACAATATTTACCTGAAGACGTGACCGCCCAGGTCTGCAATATGTACCTCAATTAATAATAGATAAAAGTACCTTTCTCACTCATGAACTGTATCAGCATATGATTCTTGTGTAAAGACACTTAGAGAATTGAGATCATATCAGGAGCTATTATGTGAACAAACATCATTCTACATACAACACCAATGGTAAATACAGTACCCAAAACATCAACTGTGCGGACTCTTCTTAAAACATCCCAATTTCATGATCACGTTACATGATGTTAGGTCAATATTGATATAACAATTTCTTTAGCAAATGTGGTCACCTCAAACTAGAATATTTACTGATGATTTCCAGCCCCTGATTTAGTCATTGACTTATTACTAAGTCCTCACAGATCATACAGAATCATACTCTCTTAACAAGAACCTACTTTCAACAGAAGGGCCTATTAAGTTATTTAGATACCAACTAACACAGCTTTACCAGCTAACCAAACAAATGAATACATCATAGGAATATAATACAGTTCAACTTTTAGATTTCAAATTCCATGTCATAGCTAGTTCAACTTTCATATTTCCAATTCCATATCATAACTAGTTCAACTTTTATATGTCCAATTCCATATCATAGCTAGTTCAATTTTCATATGTCCAATTCCATATCATAGCTAGTTCAACTTTTATATGTCCAATTCCATATCATAGCTAGTTCAACTTTTATATGTCCAATTCCATATCATAGCTAGTTCAATTTTTATATGTCCAATTCCATATCATAGCTAGTTAAACTTTTATATGTCCAATTCCATATCATAGCTAGTTCAACTTTTATATGTCCAATTCCATATCATAGCTAGTTCAACTTTTATATGTCCAATTCCATATCATAGCTAGTTCAACCTTTGTATAAGTCTTCCATACCGACTGAACATTCTTTGCATATAAAATTACATTCAACTACAAAGACTGAATAGCATAAATCTGAACATATACATACATTTCAGTAACAGGTTAGCAAACACTAATCCATAAAGAATTTTTATCTCTCTAACCACCAAAATTATCTAACCACACATATAAGCAAACCTGACACATATCTATAATATTTTAGGTCCTGTTTCACAAAACAATCTTAGCTCTCCCAATAACTTAGCCCTTAATTAGTCCATAGAGGAATGGAGACCTGACATATTAACCTCACCTCTAGTTCCCGGCAACATGACATACACCAGCCTCCCTCACCTGTACAAACGCCAGCAACTAGCCTCCACTCACCTGTACAAACCCCAGCAACTAGCCTCCACTCACCTGCACAAACCCCAGCAACTAGCTTCCACTCACCTGCACAAACCCCAGCAACTAGCCTCCACTCACCTGCACAAACCCCAGCAACTAGCCTCCACTCACCTGCACAAACCCCAGCAATTTGACATACTCGACAGCACTACCTTTGTCAAACTCCTATACTAGTCTCCCCTTACCTGCACTGTCCCTAGCAGTTAGCCTCCACACACATGACATACCAGCCTCCACACACCAGCACCTCCCTAGCAACATGTTATACTAGTCTCCCCTCACCTGCACCTCCCTAGCAACATGATATACTAGCCTCCCCTCAGTTGCACAGCCTCTAACAACATGATATACTAGCCTCCCCTCACTTGCACAGCCCCTAACAACATCATATACTAGCCTCCCCTCACCTGCGCTGTCCCTAACATCATATATTAGCCTCCCCTCACCTGTACTGTCCCTAACATCATATATTAGCCTCCCCTCACTTGCACAGCCCCTAACAACATCATATACTAGCCTCCCCTCACTTGCACAGCCCCTAACAACATCATATACTAGCCTCACCTCACCTGCACTGTCCCTAACAACATCATATACTAGCCTCCCCTAACCTGCATCCTCCCTAACAACATAATATACTAGCCTCCCCTCACCAGCATGCTCCCTAACAACATGATGTACTAGCCTCCCCTCACCTGCACTGGTCCTAACAACATGATATACTAGCCTCCCTTAACACACACATCCCCTAACATTATGATATACTAGCCTCCCATCACCAGCACAGTCCCTAAGAACATGATATACTAGCCTCCCATCACCAGCACAGTCCCTAAGAACATCACATACTAGCCTCCCTTCACCTGCACTGTTCCTAACAACATCATATAATAGCCTCCCTTCACCTGCACAGCCGCTAACAATATGACAAACTAGTCTCCCCTCACCTGCACAGCCCCTAACAACATGATATACCAGCCTCCCCTCACTTGCACTGTCCCTAAGAACATGATATACCAGCCTCCCCTCACTTGCACTGTCCCTAAGAACATCATATACTAGCCTCCCCTCACCTGCACTGTCCCTAACAACATCATATACTAGCCTCCCCTCACCTGTGCTGTCCCTAACTACATCCTATACTAGCCTCCCTTCACCTGCACTGTTCCTAACAACATCATATACTAGCCTCCCTTCACCTGCACTGTTCCTAACAACATCATATAATAGCCTCCCTTCACCTGCACAGCCGCTAACAATATGACAAACTAGTCTCCCCTCACCTGCACAGCCCCTAACAACATGATATACCAGCCTCCCCTCACTTGCACTGTCCCTAAGAACATGATATACCAGCCTCCCCTCACTTGCACTGTCCCTAAGAACATCATATACTAGCCTCCCCTCACCTGCACTGTCCCTAACAACATCATATACTAGCCTCCCCTCACCTGTGCTGTCCCTAACTACATCCTATACTAGCCTCCCTTCACCTGCACTGTTCCTAACAATATCATATACTAGCCTCCCCTCACCTGCACTGCCCCTAACAACATCATATACTAGCCTCCCTTCACCTGCACTGTTCCTAACAATATCATATACTAGCCTCCCATCACCAGCACTGTCCCTAACAATATCATATACTAGCCTCCCTTCACCTGTACTGTCCCTAACAACATCATATACTAGCCTCCCTTCACCTGCACAGCCTCTAACAACATGATAGACTAGCCTCCCATCACCTGCACTGTCCCTAACAACATCATATACTAGCCTCCCTTCACCTGCACTGTCCCTAACTACATCATATACTAGCCTCCCTTCACCTGTGCTGTCCCTAACTACATCATATACTAGCCTCCCTTCCCTTCACCTGCACAGCCCCTAACAACATCATATACTAGCCTCCCTTCACCTGCACAGCCTCTAACAACATCACATACTAGCCTCCCTTCACCTGCACTGTTCCTAACAACATCATATAATAGCCTCCCTTCACCTGCACAGCCGCTAACAATATGACAAACTAGTCTCCCCTCACCTGCACAGCCCCTAACAACATCATATACTAGCCTCCCCTCACCTGCACAGCCCCTAACAACATCATATACTAGCCTCCCCTCACCTGCACTGTCCCTAAGAACATCATATACTAGTCTCCCCTCACCTGCACAGCCCCTAACAACATCACATACTAGCCTCCCTTCACCTGCACAGCCCCTAACAACATCATATACTAGCCTCCCCTCACCTGTGCTGTCCCTAACTACATCATATACTAGCCTCCCCTCACCTGCACAGCCCCTAGCAACATTAGATACTAGCCTCCCTTCATCTGCACTGTCCCTAACAACATCATATACTAGCCTCCCATCACCAGCACTGTCCCTAACAACATCATATACTAGCCTCCCTTCACCTGCACAGTTCCTAACAACATCATATACTAGCCTCCCTTCACCTGCACTGTCCCTAACAAGATCATATACTAGCCTCTCTTCACCTGCAGTCCCTAACAACATCATATACTAGCCTCCCTTCACCTGCACTGTCCCCAACAACATCATATACTAGCCTCCCCTCACCTGCAGTCCCTAACAACATCATATACTAGCCTCCCCTCACCAGCACAGCCCCTAACAACATCATATACTAGCCTCCCTTCACCTGCACTGTTCCTAACAACATCATATACTAGCCTCCCTTCACCTGCACAGCCCCTAACAACATCATATACTAGCCTCCCCTCACCTGCAGTCCCTAACAACATCATATACTAGCCTCCCTTCACCTGCACTGTCCCTAACAACATCATATACTAGCCTCCCTTCACCTGCACTGTCCCTAACAACATCATATACTAGCCTCCCTTCACCTGCACAGCCCCTAACAACATCATATACTAGCCTCCCTTCACCTGCACAGCCCCTAACAACATCATATACTAGCCTCCCTTCACCTGCACTGTCCCTAACAACATCATATACTAGCCTCCCCTCACCAGCACAGCCCCTAACAACATCATATACTAGCCTCCCTTCACCTGCACTGTTCCTAACAATATCATATACTAGCCTCCCATCACCTGCACTGTCCCTAACAACATCATATACTAGCCTCCCCTCACCAGCACAGCCCGTAACAACATCATATACCAGCCTCCTCTCACCTGCACAGCCCCTAACAACATCATATACTAGCCTCCCCTCACCTGCAGTCCCTAACAACATCATATACTAGCCTCCCTTCACCTGCACTATCCCTAACAACATCATATACTAGCCTCCCTTCACCTGCACAGCCCCTAACAATATCATATACTAGCCTCCCCTCACCAGCACAGCCCCTAACAACATCATATACTAGCCTCCTCTCACCTGCACTGTCCCTAACAACATCATATACTAGCCTCCCTTCACCTGCACTGTTCCTAACAATATCATATACTAGCCTCCCATCACCTGCACTGTCCCTAACAATATCATATACTAGCCTCCCATCACCTGTACTGTCCCTAACAACATCATATACTAGCCTCCCCTCACCAGCACAGCCCCTAACAGCATATACTAGCCTCCTCTCACCTGCACTGTCCCTAACAACATCATATACTAGCCTCCCTTCACCTGCACTGTTCCTAACAATATCATATACTAGCCTCCCATCACCTGCACTGTCCCTAACAACATCATATACTAGCCTCTCCTCACCAGCACAGCCCCTAACAACATCATATACTAGCCTCCCTTCACCTGCACTGTCCCTAACAACATCATATACTAGCCTCCCTTCACCTGCACAGCCCCTAACAACATCATATACTAGCCTCCCCTCACCTGCAGTCCCTAACAACATCATATACTAGCCTCCCTTCACCTGCACTGTCCCTAACAACATCATATACTAGCCTCCCTTCACCTGCACTGTCCCTAACAACATCATATACTAGCCTCCCCTCACCTGCACAGCCCCTAACAACATCATATACTAGCCTCCCTTCACCTGCACTGTTCCTAACAATATCATATACTAGCCTCCCATCACCAGCACTGTCCCTAACAATATCATATACTAGCCTCCCTTCACCTGCACTGTCCCTAACAACATGATATACTAGCCTCCCCTCACCTGCAGTCCCTAACAACATGATATACTAGCCTCACCTTACCTGCACTGTCCCTAACAACATGATATACTAGCCTCCCTTTACCTGCACAGCCCCTAACAATATCATATACTAGCCTCCCCTCACCTGCACAGCCCCTAACAACATCATATACTAGCCTCCCCTCACCTGCACTGTCCCTAACAACATCATAATTAGCCTCCCCTCACCTGCAGCAAAGGTAAAGAAGCAGTTGTAGCACTGGCGGCAGCAGGCTGGGCCCGAAGCCCGGAGCCCGCCGATGTAGTCTTCCCTGCCCCAACGGGCACCAACTGAGTGAGATTCCCAGCTAGACCAAAAGGCAGAGACAACATGCCCGTTGACTGGGACGGAAGCACTGTGTTGGGATTTGAACCCAGTCCTGAACAGACAGAAACACTCAGCTAGCTTACGACAGACAGGGCAACAACTTGGCTCACGCTACACAGTGGAGTAGGATAACGGTTCAGTGATCATGGGGATGATGCTTTGTTCAATTTTCATTTTGTAATAAATGTGTCAAATATTGTATGTAGTTTTGCAGCTGTGACTGTGTGTTATTGGAACTGTTTTCTTTGACATATCTGTAGAGGTAATATTCAAATCAGGACCATAAAGATCAACTGTATTATCGAGAGAAAGGTACTTTCAATTTAGACATATTTCATTCAACTGTTTGATTCCATTAGAAAAGCATTAAGGAATCGTCTACATAGAGCATGGTCTGAGAAGAGTTTATAGCAATTACTACACAAACAAAGCCAAAATGAAATCAGATGTATATTGTTTGAAAAAATAATAAAAAGTTTGTATATATTTCCTTTTCTAAACTTTATTGGAATATTTTTTCACTGTTCCGAAAATATATACAAGATGTTGGGTGCCAAAGGCACAATTGACAACAATTTTAATGTGATGAGATGTGTTCACATGTGCCAATAATAGTGGACATTGTCAAAATATATAAAAAACACTACCAGCAACATGAACTAAATTGAAGTCCTGTCTTCCGATAAACATCAAGGGAGAAACTTATTCTGATGGAAATATGAATTTTGTAACATTGTTTTGAAATAGGCTTGGTGACTACACTGCACACATTCGAGAGGGATTTTCTTGCCACAAAGCTGCATACAGGATGTAGAGTATATGGTGGTAGGTATATGGACATCTATAGCTAGCATGCATGTCAAGGTACCACGGAGCCACCACAAGACAAGTATACATAAGCCATGCAATAACTGCACCAGCGACATAGACGCAGGTGCCCCTCCGGTGCAACCAACATCAAATATCATAATGTTGCATTATATACTGTTGTCATGGTTATAGAATATTTCTGATTCATTGGATTTTTTTCTTCTTCAAAAGAGACTAGAGAGTGAAGATGAACGTTTGGATATGTGCAGTTCTTGATTTCTGTTTCATCAACATTCGGAAATTTGAAAAAAATATTTTCATTGAATTTAATAATTTAATAATTCAACAAAGCAAGTTAATACTTCCCAAACATACATTTCAGTCGAGTTGATGGTGTGAAAAAACCCTTATAAAATAACACAAAACAAAACAAACATTGTGATAAAAAACATGCAATCATCAAGGAAAAATACAATCAAAGACACAACAAGGCTATCTGTGTAAAGAGATAGTCCCTCTTGCTTGGGAACAAAAACTGAGATTCCCCTCAGAAATCAAACAAAATAAAATGATAGAAAACAAATGAAGGAATTTACCGATATTATATGGCATCCATGATATCAAAGTAATGAACACAGCCTACCTGGATGAGTGAGTGAGTGAGTGAGCTTAATGCCGCTTAGAACAGTATTTTCAGTCATGTCACAGTGTGTCAGCTTGATGTGGGAGGAAAGCCCAAAGTGATGCAGGTCAAAGACCATTCCCACTTTGGGGAAACCTACAAGCACAGGTATGGTGCTGACAAACCTAGAAACAATCAGGGCAAGCCGGAATTCGAACCCACGTTCATAGGTTTCTGGCACGTCTTAGGGACTGTGTCACCTGTGTCGCCCTACCAAGATGAAGCAATAGTTGTACTGCAATTGCTATTATCCTGCATAATAAACCTCCAGTGATGTCATCTTATTGTTCTCCAATCGGGTTAAATCTAATATACAGGGATGTTATATCCCCAGGATTTTATACATACAAAGTCCTGTGATACTGGAATGATGCAAAATCAAACAACAAATTTTCCAAGATTTCAGTTGATCGAACTTGCAACAATCGTTTCTGTAGCCTCATGGGAAAACTAGTCTTTAGAGCCACTGACAAACCACAAAGCTTTCAAGAATCTCTTTTTCAAGTAATGTTTCGCGTCAGCAGGTCATGTCTCAATTAAAGATGAAAAGTATCCCACCATAAAGAACCAGAAACAATGTGCAGAGAACTACACCAACTGGGTATAATCCAATCTCATTAAAATCAGATCTAAGTTCTCACTGCTACTAAACAAAGATCTGAGGACATCCCATTACGGGTCCCATCAGAACGACCTTTCGCAAACTTTGACCGACCACTGAAATTGACTAACAAGAAGTCGACATCAGCCAGTTAGAAAGCAGCTTTCTCGGGCTTTACGGCGCTCATTCCAACCTGGCGACTTCCATTTCACACAACGTTTCTCGATTAAAATTTTGAAAACTGAACAAACAAACATTCCATAATGTCTAATATATCATTGAGATTGTATGGCAGTGCTTCCCACCTTCTGTGCAACGCCTCCTCCATTCAAATTTTTATCCTACAGAAGCGTGAGGTAGATGATAATATTGACCGAATCAGTAGTATGGGCCGTAACTGTCATTCTGAATACCCCGTGTTAACGTTTTCGAGGTTGCATGATTAGAAAACACATTCCGACTGTCGCTTTCATAATCTGGTAAGCGACACTTTGATTGGTTGGATGAAAGGTCGTTCTGACGTAATGGGATGTCCTCAGATCTTTGGTTAATGATAGCGAGAACTAAGATCTGATTATAATGAGTTTGTGTATAATATGAATCGATGAATTGAGTTTGATATCATGGTGCCCTTGTGCATTGAATCATTTCTGCCTGAACGATTCATGTGATTCCATGGGGTATAAGCACATGGTTATACATTCATTCCTGAATCTGACATGAATTCATCAAGAAACAACTGAACAAACACAAATAACTATGAAACATAAAATGGACACAAGTCTTCTATGAGAATTACTGTGTTAAGTGTAACTATGGCGACCTACCCGTTGACATGACGACCGTGGACGACACCGATGTACTTGTGGCTGTAGTGGCGGAAGCAGTTGTAGAGGGCAGCGCCGTTACCATGGTGACGAAAGAATGAGGGGAGGTCACCACACTTGTTGACTAGGAAATACAACACAAGATAATGACAACACTTCCTTGGAGGTAGAATAACTGTTGGAACTTTCAGAAGATGTTGATATTCTACAACACGACATGGGTACAATGTGTGAAGATACTTTGTATCCCCCTTTGTGATATGGCTAAAACCTCACTCACTACTATATGAGTAATGAGGTGAAATGGGGTTTAGATCCGGGGTAGAATTGGTCTTCAGCAACCCATGCTTGTCGTAAAAGGCAACAATGTTTGTCGTAAGAGGTGACTAATGGGATCAGGTGGTCAGCCTCGCTGACTTGGTTGATTCATGTCATCGTATCCAAATTAACTGGCTCGATGCTCATGATGGCAATCACTGGATTGTGTGGTCCAGACTCAATTTTTTACAGGCCGCTGTCACATAGATGAAATATTGCTGAGTAAAGCGTAAAACAACAAACAAACATGAAATAGGCTTAACATCACATATAAGATTATTGCACCTATAAACGGATGTACACACATGTGTGTGTGGCAGCTTGTACCAGTCCAGAAAAGAGACAAATGTTTCTCATTGTCATTGAGGGTCATTTTAAACCTGACGAGTGAATGCCTTTCCCACAGTTCCGAATGCAGCCATTTCTAATTTTTGAATATTAGACTTTTTCATGGAGCCTTCAGTATTCAAGGGTGGACTGTATGCCTTGGCATACTTACTACACAATGTACAAAACCATTAGATGGCTGTTTCCAGGTTTGTGGTGTATACTTTCAACACTTTCCTTGTGAAATTAATTATCAGTCTTATTTAAATGTCTCTGGTTGTCTTCTTACATTTGCTGTTTGAAAACAACACCATGTACAACAATATATGGTGAAACAAAATAGAAAAAAAAGCCTGGTCATCTTGCCATTATTAAACTCTGGACTTACTGAGTAACATTCGTTCTGTGTGGTTTAATGCTGGTTTTGTAATGCTCGTCCACTTGGATACCGGTACTATGCAACAGTTTAACAAGGACACCCCACTATGACAGCATGCTGACTCCAAGCTGAATAGTCCTTGTTTCATACCCTTAATGCTGAGCACCAGGCAGGGTAACAATAATGTACATTTTTTAACATCTTTTGGTGTGACAGAGCCAGGGATCTAACCGTCAACCTTAACACTCTCTATTATGAGAAATGAGATGAAAATGGACAGCTATTCACCTCTTGGAGAATTGTGCAAGTGAATGCATTTTAACAGTTCATCATGGATTGGTCTTATACCGCCTTATGCACTATTCAAGCAATATGACTGTTGGAACAAGAGTGAGTGAGTATGGGTTAACGCCCCTTTTAGCAATGTTCCAGCAATATCACGGCGGGGGGACACCAGAAATGGGCTTCGAACCCGGGTCTTCGGCGTGACGAGCGAACGCTTTAACCACTAGGCTACCTGACCGCGCCCTATTGGAACTAGATGATGCTTCATTCATTGTACTTTTGTACTTATTGTCAACATGTATATTTCTGTTTTCCTATTTCACATTGCTGTTCATCACTTGCTTGATAACAGTGTTAGTGTCTACACCGTAACGTCACGATCATTGTAATAAAGAAGTTGTTCATCCATAGATCTATATCCCTTGTTCAATAATCATGATCCCTAACTATTTTTGTTCAGTATATATTATTTGTTTCTTTGTTAGTTGTTTTATGCTGCACTCAGCAATATCCCAGCTATGTGACGGTGGTCTGTAAATAATCGAGTCTGTACCAGACAATCCAGTGATTCATCATGAGCATCGATCTACACAATTGGGATTGATGACATGCATCAACCAAGTCAGCGAGTCTGACAACCCGATTCCGTTAGTCGCCTCTTACGGCAAGCATGGGTTGCTAAAGACCTATTCTGTCCCGGATCTTCACGGGTCTAGTATATGTTAATTAACTCAGTAGAAAGCAATAATTTGTGAAATTTTTAATTTAAATAATAGATCATTAATTATTTTACAAAAGATCTTGAGGTGAACAGAACCTTTTCATCTCTTTTGCAACTGACCTGGTTAGATGACTGCGAAACAGATGCTGCTGCAGAGTCCGTGGAAGAAGACGTCACAGAGGCAGCCATGTTGGGGAGTGAGCTGACGAGGATGCCTTGGTTCTGTAGCAGTGACGAGTTGTTGTTGATCATTGTGATGGGGACAGGAACAGCAATCCCTCCACCGGGCATTGACACACCTGTCAGGGACACCTGTCACGGAGAAGTGGAACTTCAGAAGTGCTTGTCATGATCAAGTGTCAGTCTCTCCATAAGTCCTTGCATGCTAGATACCCCTGTATATAGGACAGCCACTGCAGTTAGGATAGTCCTTGCATGCTAGATACCCCTGTATATAGGACAGCCACTGCAGTTAGGATAGTCCTTGCATGCTAGATACCTCTGTATATAGGACACCCACTGCAGTTAGGATAGTCCTTGCATGCTAGATACCCCTGTATATAGGACAGCCACTGCCGTTAGGATAGTCCTTGCATGCTAGATACCCCTGTATATTGGACAGCCACTGCAGTTAGGATAGTCCTTGCATGCTAGATACCCCTGTATATAGGACAGCCACTGCCGTTAGGATAGTCCTTGCATACTAGATACCCCTGTATATTGGACAGCCACTGCCGTTAGGATAGTCCTTGCATGCTAGATACCCCTGTATATTGGACAGCCACTGCAGTTAGGATAGTCCTTGCATGCTAGATACCCCTGTATATTGGACAGCCACTGCAGTTAGGATAGTCCTTGCATGCTAGATACCCCTGTATATTAGACAGCCACTGCAGTTAGGATAGTCCTTGCATACTGGATACCCCTGTATATTAGACAGCCACTGCAGTTAGGATAGTCCTTGCATACTGGATACCCCTGTATATTGGACAGCCACTGCAGTTAGGATAGTCCTTGCATGCTAGATACCCCTGTATATTGGACAGCCACTGCAGTTAGGATAGTCCTTGCATACTGGATACCCCTGTATATTAGACAGCCACTGCACTTAGGATAGTCCTTGCATGCTAGATACCCCTGTATATTGGACAGCCACTGCAGTTAGGATAGTCCTTGCATACTGGATACCCCTGTATATTAGACAGCCACTGCACTTAGGATAGTCCTTGCATGCTAGATACCCCTGTATATTGGACAGCCACTGCAGTTAGGATAGTCCTTGCATACTGGATACCCCTGTATATTAGACAGCCACTGCACTTAGGATAGTCCTTGCATGCTAGATACCCCTGTATATTGGACAGCCACTGCAGTTAGGATAGTCCTTGCATACTGGATACCCCTGTATATTAGACAGCCACTGCAGTTAGGATAGTCCTTGCATACTGGATACCCCTGTATATTAGACAGCCACTGCACTTAGGATAGTCCTTGCATGCTAGATACCCCTGTATATTGGACAGCCACTGCAGTTAGGATAGTCCTTGCATGCTAGATACCCCTGTATATTGGACAGCCACTGCAGTTAGGATAGTCCTTGCATGCTAGATACCCCTGTATATTGGACAGCCACTGCAGTTAGGATAGTCCTTGCATACTAGATACCCCTGTATATTGGACAGCCACTGCAGTTAGGATAGTCCTTGCATACTGGATACCCCTGTATATTAGACAGCCACTGCAGTTAGGATAGTCCTTGCATGCTAGATACCCCTGTATATTGGACAGCCACCGCAATTAGGATAGTCCTTGCATGCTAGATACCCCTGTATATTGGACAGCCACTGCAGTTAGGATAGTCCTTGCATACTAGATACCCCTGTATATTGGACAGCCACTGCCGTTAGGATAGTCCTTGCATACTAGATACCCTTGTATATTGGATACCCCTGTATACTGGACAGCCACTGCAGTTAGGATAGTCCTTGCATACTGGATACCCCTGTATATAGGACAGCCACTGCCTTTAGGATAGTCCTTGCATGCTAGATACCCCTGTATATAGGACAGCCACTGCCGTTAGGATAGTCCTTGCATGCTAGATACCCCTGTATATTGGACAGCCACTGCAGCTAGGATAGTCCTTGCATGCTAGATACCCCTGTATATAGGACAGCCACTGCCGTTAGGATAGTCCTTGCATACTAGATACCCTTGTATATTGGATACCCCTGTATATAGGACAGCCACTGCCGTTAGGATAGTCCTTGCATACTAGATACCCCTGTATATTGGACAGCCACTGCCGTTAGGATTGTCCTTGCATACTAGATACCCCTGTATATTGGACAGCCACTGCAGTTAGGATAGTCCTTGCATGCTAGATACCCCTGTATATTGGACAGCCACTGCCGTTAGGATTGTCCTTGCATACTAGATACCCCTGTATATTGGACAGCCACTGCCGTTAGGAAAGTCCTTGCATACTAGATACCCTTGTATATTGGATACCCCTGTATATTGGACAGCCACTGCAGTTAGGATAGTCCTTGCATACTGGATACCCCTGTATATTAGACAGCCACTGCACTTAGGATAGTCCTTGCATGCTAGATACCCCTGTATATTGGACAGCCACTGCAGTTAGGATTGTCCTTGCATACTAGATAACCCTGTATATTGGACAGCCACTGCCGTTAGGAAAGTCCTTGCATACTAGATACCCTTGTATATTGGATACCCCTGTATATTGGACAGCCACTGCAGTTAGGATAGTCCTTGCATACTGGTTACCCTTGTATATTGGATACCCCTGTATATTGGACAGCCACTACAGTTAGGATAGTCCTTGTATATTTGATACCCCTGTATATTGGATACCCCTGTATATTGGATAGCCACTGCCTTAAGGATTGTCCTTGCATATTGGATACCCCTGTATATTGGACAGCCTCTTCATTTGGGATAGTCCTTGCATACTAGATACCCCTGTATATTGGACAGCCACTGCAGTGAGGATAGTCCTTGCATACTGGATACCCTTGTATATTGGATACCCCTGTATATTGGACAGCCACTACAGTTAGGATAGTCCTTGTATATTTGATACCCCTGTATATTGGATAGCCACTGCCTTAAGGACTGTCCTTGCATATTGGATACCCCTGTATATTGGACAGCCTCTTCATTTGGGATAGTCCTTGCATACTAGATACCCCTGTATATTGGACAGCCACTGCAGTGAGGATAGTCCTTGCATACTGGATACCCTTGTATATTGGATAGCCCTGTCTTAAGGATTGTCCTTGCATATTGGATACCCCTATATATTGGACAGCCTCTACATTTGGGATAGTCCTTGCATATTGGATACCCCAGTATATTGGACAGCCCCTGTGTGTTGGCAAAGTGAACGCCTACCTGCACGTTGGACAGCCCCTGTCTGTTGGTGATGTGAACACCTACCTGCACGTTGGACAGCCCCTGTGTGTTGGTGATGTTAACACCTACCTGCACGTTGGACAGCCCCTGTGTGTTGTCGATGTTAACACCTATCTGCACGTTGGACAGCCCCTGTATGTTGGCGATGTTAACACCTACCTGCACGTTGGACAGCCCCTGTGTGTTGGCGATGTTAACACCTACCTGCACGTTGGACAGCCCCTGTGTGTTGGCGATGTTAACACCTACCTGCACGTTGGACAGCCCCTGTGTGTTGGCGATGTTAACACCTACCTGCACGTTGGACAGCCCCTGTAGGTTGGCGATGTTAACACCTACCTGCACGTTGGACAGCCCCTGTAGGTTGGCGATGTTAACACCTACCTGCACGTTGGACAGCCCCTGTAGGTTGTCGATGTTAACACCTATCTGCACGTTGGACAGCCCCTGTAGGTTGGCGATGTTAACACCTACCTGCACGTTGGACAGCCCCTGTAGGTTGGCGATGTTAACACCTACCTGCACGTTGGACAGCCCCTGTAGGTTGGCGATGTTCATGCCCTGGAGACCAGCCAGGCTACTGATATTGAAGTTCTGTGGGAGTCCCCCAAGGTTTGTGATGTTGATGTTAGTGGTGAGGTTCGGCTGCTGGGTGATACTGCCACTCTCTGAAGGAAGACATTTGTCCTCTAAGACACACAATGGAGGGAACAGACTTAATTCTTTGGCTGCAAGACCCATGAAGATCCGGGGTAAAATATGTCTTCAGCAAACCATGCTTGTCGTAAGAGGCGACTAACGGTATCAGGTGGTCAGGCTGTCATCGTATCCAAATTGACTGGATCGATGCTCATGATGTCAATCACTGGATTGTCGGTCCAGACTCGATTATACAGACCACCATCATGTAGCTGGAATATTGCTGAGTGCGGTGTTTAACAACAAAGAAGCAACAAACAAACTTTGTCTAAATAAAGAAATCCTTGTACAAACATATATTTCTACGTAATCTTAAAATGAACTGGATAAAGTAGGTGATTTTGAATGAGTTTGCTACATCAATTTGAGTCATAAAGCACCCACAATTCCTTTTGATAAAATCCACCTGACTATCATTATTGACCATGAGGTAATGGAGTGAGACAGGGCTTGGACCATATTTGGGAATCCAACCCAGGTGTTCCTGGTGATGAGAAAAATCATAACCACTTGGCTACCCTACACTGCCACAATGAACTGCTAGTTATTCATGACTACACAGTGAGGTCATCAGGTCAGCGACATTGTACTTGGAATATACACTGATCCATTGTTAGGGGTAATCATTTCAGGGCCTTTGTGAGCATTGCCATGAGCAGTCATTTGGTGATTGAACATTAGGAGCATTATAAAATGAAGTCTGACAGGCATTTGGAACATGGATTCATGACACTTTTTAATGGATAGCAACTTCTTTTATTCTTTGTATGATGTTTCAGAGCTACTTCTTGCTCCTTCATCAGGTGAATGCCTAGTAAGTGCATAGAGTACTACAGTAAATTATGTTTATAACAAACACGCTTATAATGAACTAACCTATATAACGATCTTTGCTGTTGTATATATGCTGTATATATGATTATAATGAACTACGGTTATTGCAAAATAAAATCAGTGGTCAGACTTATGAACTTGGAATATTAGGAGCATTATAAGATCACTTATTTACTTATGACTTAAAGACCACCATGTTTTGAGTATAGATACAGACCTCCTGCGGATGTGACTGTCAGCGCACCAGAAGATGTCAGACCTGGGGAAAAACAAACATTCACTTGAGAGTGCCTTTCTGAAATACTTTTCAGTGACAAACATGAAAGAAAACTCACATCTGCCATTGTGGGTTACATGGACCACAATGCATCAGTAGTGTGATCAATCATTGGGACACATGGACCACAATGCATCAGTAATATGATCAATCATTGGGACACATGGACCACAATGCATCAGCAGGTTGATCAATCATTGGGCTACAAGGACCACAATGCATCAGTAGTTTGATCAATCATTGGGACACATGGACCACAATGCATCAGTAGTTTGATCAATCATTGGGACACATGGACCACAATGCATCAGTAGTTTGATCAATCATTGGAACACATGGACCACAATGCATCAATAGTTTGATCAATCATTGGGCTACATGGACCACAATGCATTAGTAATTGGATCAATCATTACATGGTGTGGATTGTTTCTTATGCTGTCAATAACTTATTTGTCTGGCCCAGATTCAAATATTTACAGGATATTCTGAGACAGCTGAAATATTGCTTACTGGACAAAACAACAACATTTACACACCAGTGACACCACTGTGTACAAGTTTTTGTTTTGTTTGTTTGTTGTTTAACGCCACACTCAGTAACTCAAGACCTATCACTACACCCTGCCCTTCCTTCTCACCTTGCAAGTAGGTGGTGAGGTTTGTGGCTTGTGGGAGATTCTGTGTTGTCTGACCAATGGTCACCGACTCTGTGGTGGACGTCCGCCTAGAGGCCGATGATGTGGGGGTGGGTGTCCGTGAGACAGGGGGTGGGGTGGGGGTGGCTGCAGGGGTGGGGATCTTCTGGCCAGTGGTCTGTACTGAGGATGCCGAGGCAATGAACTGGTGCTGTGCTGTAATCACAAATAGAATGAAACGATTTCATAACAACATTTTTTATTGACATGTCAATTTGGATTGTGAAAAAGCAAGACAAGCATCTCCATTCCAGACCTTTTTTAAGGTATGTGTGAGCTTTGAACTTTGTGGAAGTAGGCCCTGGATAGTAGTATTGAAGAGATACTAATCAACCTGGCTAGTTGCAAGGAGTGTAACGATATATCAAACAATCAAACTCTCGCAATTATTTGCCCTACAACTGTATCCTCACGTACTGTGTTTTCAAGCCACTAAGTAGTATTAAGAAGCATATAACCTTACGTGTCTAATAACAATCGCAATACACAAAAAAGTTTACTACAACTTCAGATTGGAGTTACTTCCCTTTGGTTTGAGTAGTGACAGGGAGGAAAATGTCCCTCTTTGAGTTTGTTAGCAATAATTAATATTCATTTCTTATACATTGATTAACATAATTATCAAGCCTTAAAGTCGGTTTAGTACTATCGCATACTATTGCAATAAATGACAACTGAAACAATACTATTGCAATACAATCGCAATTGTGAAAAAAGCTCAAACAGTCACCCCTATTAGCATGTTCCTGAGGCAAGGGCGTTAACTGACCATAAAAGTTCATTTTCCACCCTTGCCGGACTAGGCTGGAGTTCAGGGGTTACAATTTGGCCGGACTACTGAGTCTATGCATAGTCCAATGACCTACCAGTAACATGAGGAAAGCTGACATGAAGGACTCACCAGTGGTGGTAGCTGTAGGAGTAGACACAGGGCTCGGTGTACTGGTCACTCTGCAATACGGGACACACAGACATTAACATACACTGGGAGGGAATGCATACAATAATTGAGGGAGGGCTTGTGCCTCAATCAGTAATATTCCTGCTATACTATGGTGGTAAATAATCGTGTCGGAGCCAATAAAACCAGTGATGGACTGCACAAGACAGATTAATATGACACATGATCATCAAGATCAGTCATTTTCCTTATCGTAGACAGCTTTTACTCACGAAGAGGAAATAAGATACTTTACTGATGGAATAAAATCAGGGAGGTGGGGGGAGGTGAGGTGAGGTGAAATTCGGTTTAACGTCGCGTCCAAGATTATTGAACTTATATAGCGACGTGCATGCACGTGTGTGTGTGTGTTGCTGCTTGTACTAGTCCGGACTGATCACTGTCACTGAGATACCATGCCGCAGTTTAACATGAATACCCCACTCAGACACAGTATACTGACTCCGAGCCGACCAGTCCTTGTTTTAGCCCCTTAATGCCGAGCGCCAGACAGGGTAACAAAAAGGACTATCTTTTAACGTCTTTTTGTATGACGCGGCCGGGGATCGAACCCCGGACCTTCAGCTCTCCGGGCGGACGCTCTACCACAAGACCACAGAGGCCGTCTTATAGAATCAGGGAACACATAGCAATACAGTGAAAGTACTGAAAACGTATTCACCTGAAAATATTTCCAGTTAACCATAGCTGGAGATAAGATTTGTAAATAATCGAGTCTGGACCAGACAATCCAGTGACTGCCATCATGAGGATCGATCTATGCAATAACGATATGCATCAAGCAAGTCAGCGAGCCTGACCACCTGATCCTGTTAGTTGCCTCTTACGACACACAGGGTTGCTTAAGACAAAGCCTACCCTGGATTTTCTTGGGTTTGGGGATAAGAAGAACTACAAGGTTGAAGTGCCAGATTCATGGTGGCTTGTGAATAATGAAGCCTGGGCCAGAGATTCCAGTGACTCAAAGAATAGCCAACGTCCCACACAATCATCAAAGTGTTTGTTTATTGTTAAACGCTGCACTCAGCAATATGGCAGCAATGTGACTACGGTCTTTAAATAACTGAGTATAGACCAGAAAATCTAGTGATTAACATCATGACAATGTCAGTGCAATTGAGATACGATGGCACGCAATCAACAAAGTGCCGAGCCTGACCACACCATTCAATTTACCGTATTCAACGTAATAAGCGCCCACGGTGATATTTGCTAATATATTGGCTAGTGAACAATCCCAATCAGCACCCCTTCCGATTGATCAATGTACACAAGACTTATTTATTTGTGTATAATACGCACTCGTGTGTTATATCACCCTTAATTATGGGCAATTAAATTCTTGAAAAATACATCTGTCGTATGTAAACATGTTAGCACAAACCACAAAATGTACGATCTTTCAACTCAAAATAATATTCTAATAAGCGCCCCCTATTTCTAATTTTGAGAGCACCCTGGGAGCTTATTACGTTGAATACGGTAGTCATCTTTTTGGACGTGCAATAGGGGGCTGCAGACCCACTCTCATTCGCGTCTTGGCATGGGTTTAATACAAACTCACCTTGAGTGTGATATACTGAAAGGCTTTATCCTTTGTGTTGATGAGTGTGATTGGTTGCCCTGAGACAGTGTTAGCTGCTGAGCAGGAAGCGGCGTCTGATTGGTCAACTGCTGACTGCTGGTTGTCCCAGTAACACCTGCATACATTGTTCGACATTATCATCTTAATGCATGTTTCTCCCTCCAAACATATATGATGTAACTTCAGAGGATTTGATAATGACTAATGTCGAATCAGAAGTGAAATGTGGAAAATACTCACAATGTGTTTAAAACATTTAAAACAATAAAAAATAAGGTAAGTGCGAATATGTAAAAAGATGTAGCAACATTCCAACAACATCAGGTTTTCAGAAGCAAAACTGTGATTCACATATTGCTGGGAAATATTGGCATAAAAAGTAATAGTCTTGGTTCTGAGTAACCGCTAGCATCATTAAGTCCACCACATGCTTTGTTTTTGTTTCCAAAAAATCCTAATACTTAAAAACAAAGCAATCCAAAATAGCACACAGTTACTTCCCTTTACATGCGCACTGCTTTACTGCGCATCTCATGTTATGGTCATGGCGGCAATAGGAGTTTGTATGCTTGTTTATGTCGGGAGGCCCTTTCCCAGGTTGATGGTACACAACTGTTTATTTTCTTACATATACTAGTTTGAACAAGCAAAAAAACAAAACAAAAAAACACACAAAAATACCGCCTGTCTGCACTATAAGTCATTGCCTGAGAACCAGTTCTTTTATTTTTTTAAGCCTAAAAAACAACTCAAGAACTAACTCCTCACCTGACTGTGGGCTGAGGATGTTGGCAGCAGCATTGATGCTCCCCGACCCTGGTGGACCCAGAGACAGTGACAGCTGGATGGGCATGTTCCGTTTGGCCGCCAGACCAGCACTTCCCGTTGGTTCATTCTGGGGAAATAATGACAAGATAAAACCTACAGGAGCCATCAACAAATTAATAGTCTGGACTAATACCGATTTAATAGTGCTAGCCCACTGAGATACCATGCTGCAGTTTAACATGCATACCCCACTCCGACACAGTATACAGACCAGTCCCTGTTTATCCCCTTAATGCCGAGCACCAGGCAGGATAACAACAAGTACCACCTTTTAACATCTTTGGTATGACGCGTCTGGGGATCAAACTCCAACCTTCCAACTTGGCTACGGACGCGATCTCCTACATCGTGAACCTGATCCTCATATAAGTCATTTTTTACAACCGTGAACAAGCATGTGGTGAGGATCTTCCCTTCTCTTCACAGGGTCCAACACAAGCATGTGGTACTGAGGATCTTCCCTTCTCTTCACAGGGTCCAACACAAGCATGTGGTGAGGATCTTCCCTTCTCTTCATAGGGTCCAACACAAGCATGTGGTGAGGATCTTCCCTTCTCTTCACAGGGTCCAACACAAGCATGTGGTGAGGATCTTCCCTTCTCTTCACAGGGTCCAACACAAGCATGTGGTGAGGACCCACCCTTCTCTTCACAGGGTCCAACACAAGGATGTGGGTGAGTTTGGTATAACACAGATTTAAACAGTTTTTCAACTAATGTTGGGCGAAAGCCTGAATTTCAACCGTGATGAAGCCCCTCGTACAGTGCTGGCAAACAATGGTTGTAACTCAGTTTCCACTGTTTTGACCCAAATCCTCCCATGTCACCCTGCTTCAGGGCCCCGTTCCACAAAGTGATCTTAGCGCAACAATTGTCATAAGTCTATGTTAAAGTTCGGAGATTTGATCGTCAAGGGGGTTATTGTTATGACTCCATATTAAAATATGGACTATACGAGCGTTAAGGGGTTATTGTCATAACTCCATATTAAAGTATGGACGATACGATCGTTAAGAGGGTCATTGTCATAACTCCATATAAAAGTATGGGAGAAACGATCGTCAGGGATCATTGTCAAAAGTATTGAGATACGATCATCTGTGTATTTCTGGTCATACTTTCATGTTAAAGTATGCGAGATACAATTGTCAGGGTTTTTCTGGTCATAACTCAATGTTACAGTATGGGAGATACGATCATCACAGGGGTTAAGGTCATAACTCCATGTCAAAATATGGGAGATACGATCATCACAGGGGTTAAGGTTATAACTCCATGTCAAAATATGGTAGATACGATCATCACAGGGGTTAAGGTCATTAGTCCATGTTAAAGTATGGGAGATACGATCATCACAGGGGTTAAGGTTATAACTCCATGTCAAAATATGGGAGATACGATCATCACAGGGGTTGAGGTCATAAGTCCATGTTAAAGTATGGGAGATACGATCATCACAGGGGTTAAGGTCATAAGTCCATGTTAAAGTATGGGAGATACGATCATCACAGGGATTAAGGTCATAAGTCCATGTTAAAGTATGGGAGATACGATTATCACAGGGGTTAAGGTCATATGTCCATGTTAAAGTATGGGAGATACGATCATCACGGGGGTTAAGGTCATAAGTCCATGTTAAAGTATGGGAGATACGATCATCACAGGGGTTGAGGTCATAAGTCCATGTTAAAGTATGGGAGATACGATCATCACAGGGGTTAAGGTCATAAGTCCATGTTAAAGTATGGGAGATACGATCATCATGGGGGTTAAGGTCATAAGTCCATGTTAAAGTATGGGAGATACGATCGTCAGGGGTTCATTGTCATAACTCTATGTTTAAGTATAGGATATATGATCGTCAGGGGTTCATTGTCATAACTCTATGTTTAAGTATAGGAGATATGATCGTCAAGGGGTTATTGTCATAAGTCCGTGCTAAAGTATGTGAGATACGATCGTCAGGGGTTCATTGTCATAACTCCATGTTAAAGTATGGGAGATATGATCGTCAAGTTTTTTTGGGTTATAACTCCTTGTTTAAAGTATGGGAGATACGATCGTCATGGGGTCATTGTTATAACTCCATGTTTAAAGTATGGGAGATATGATCGTCAGGGGGTCATTGTTATAACTCCATGTTTAAAGTATGGGAGATACGATCATCACAGGGGTTAAGGTCATAAGTCCATGTTAAAGTATGGGAGATACGATCATCACGGGGGTTAAGGTCATAAGTCAATGTTAAAGTATGGGAGATACGATCATCACAGGGGTTAAGGTCATAACTCCATGTTAAAGTATGGGAGATACGATCATCACAGTGGTACATTATTATAACTCCATGTTTAAAGTATGGAGATACGATCGGAATGGGGTCAGTGTTACAACTCCATGTTTAAAGTATGGAGATACGATCGTCAGGGTTTTTCTGTCTCTGACCACAATACAACAATAAACTGACTGACCTGTGTGGTGATGGTAGCAGCCATGCTTGTAGCATGCTTGAGGAGAGCTTGAGCATTAGTGATGGTGATGCTGGTAGCACTTGGAGACTGTGTGGTCTGTGTGTACATGACACTGGCTGGCTGGTTGGGGCGCTGGGTCGTGATCTTCACTGACCGGCGACCTTCCTCCGTGAACAGCTCCTTGAACTGCTCAAAATACCTGACAACAGCACCACACATTCAAAACCTGCCACTGTACAAATAGCTCATACATTTGAGCACTTACAAAATGGACTATGAGGTGTGGTTTAAAAGGGGACATCCATAACTTCTCTTCCTTGTGTGCATCACTTCTAAATGCCTTTCAAAGACTTAAGGAAGGATAAGAATTTATGGATGAACAACTTCTTTATTACAATTAAGAGCGACGTTTCGGTGTAGGTTCTAACACCTTTACACCGCTACCTACACCGAAACGTCGCTCTTAATTGTAATAAAGAAGTTGTTCATCCATAAATTCTTATCCTTAGTTAGTACTCCAGCTTCTAAATGCCTATCAAAGAAGTTTCAAAGACTTGAAAGTTTCTATACGCATAAGGTGAGGTGAAATGGGGTTTAACGTCGCGTCCAAGATTATTGCACTTATATTATGACATGCAAGCATGTGTGTGTGGGGTGTGGCTGCTTATACTTGTCCGGACTGATTTATAATGCTAGCACACTGAAATACCACAGTTCACCATGAATACCCCACTCAGACTCAGTATACAAACTCCAAGCCGACCAGTCCTTGTTTTAGCCCCTTAATGCCGAGAGCCAGACAGGTTAACAACAAGTACCATCTTTCAACGTCTTTTGGTATGACGCGGACAAAGAACCATTTCCTGTGAAAACATTTGGCCAGGTATTGATTTATAGGACAAAGAGACTCATAATGCTCAGAAATGGAAGATTGTTTGTCTTTTTATTGGGAAGCAGTTCAAAAGTTGGATGTTGGACAAATATCCCAATTCCATTAGGTGTCAAAATTTTCACAATCAAGTTTTAAGGGGGAAGGGGTATATGTTAATTTAAGGAATTAACTTTTTTATGTGACATTGAGCTATTATCATGATAAACTACTCTCTTGACAATGAAACTAGGAAATGCAAGAGCTGACCAGTTCTTGTTTTATCACCTTAATGACAAATGCCAGGCAGGGTAACAACAAGTACCATCTTTTAACGTCTTTGGTATGATGCTACCGGAGATCTAGCCATCGACCTTCCACTCTCCAGGCAAATACTCTATCCACTAGACCACAGGGATGGTCCATTATTGAATGGACTTAGTAGGGGATATAATAATAGCTTGTGACATTCAACACTCATCTATTGACTTAGGTCTAACTCTAACCTACATCATATGTTCTACTTACTTATCAACACTCTCTTTCGATCCCAGAGTGAATCTGAAATGAAGGCAGACAGGAATGCACATAAACATATAGGAGCATAACAATCTATCAAACTATCAAGCTATTGCTATTGTTTGCCCGACGATGTTATTAGAGCACGGCTAATCGATGGATCCTACAAAGAAGAAAGACAACTTTCATGCTTACTGTATTTGACGTAATAAGCGCCCACGGCGATATTTGCCAGTACAGTCAAGTCCTGTAAATCCGACATTGTTGGTTGCATATGATTATGTCGGATTAACGAGTATGTCAGATAAACGGAGTGTGTGACGGGTCTAAAAGCACTGATTTAATTGGTTCCCATCATTTGTGTCAGATAAAGCCGTTTGTCGGATTAAAGAGTGTCGGATTAACGAGAATTGACTGTGTATTGGCTTGTGAACAATCCCAATTAGCACCCTTCCGACTGATCAATGTACACAAGACTTATTTATTTGTGTATAATATACACTCGTGTGTTATATGCACCCTTAATTACGGGCAATTCAATTCTAGAAAAATATTTCTGTCGTGTATAATACATACAGACTTTTCTTTTGTATCATTTCAGGCTGTCAGAATAAACCATAAAATTTACGATCTTTCAACTCTTTCACCAAAATAATATTCTAATAAGAGCCCCCTATTTCTAATTTTGAGAGTGCCCTGGGCGCTTATTACATCGAATATGGTAATTTCAAACATCGGTTTTGTCAGAAAAGATAGGGCTAATCACATGTGATTTTTTAAACATAATTTTGACAAAATGTCACAAGAAAATAAATCATTTAATCAAAAACTCTCAAAAGTAAAAAGTATTGAACTGGCACGCAAAAAGTGTTAAGAATTAATAATTTCTTATTACATATGTAAACATGTAAACAAAGGATTTTCAATAAATTCAATATGACCAATGCCAGTATGACCATCAGAGGCCTATTTTAATCATAGCTTACACAAAGTCTTACCAAGTGTGGATACTGATGAGATTCAGAGTGAGTGAATATTCTTTTATGCCGGTGCAATATTTCAGCTATATCACAGCAGTCTGTTATAACTGAATTGACCACATGAGTGAGTGAGTGAGTGAGTGAGTGAGTGAGTGAGTGAGAGAGAGAGAGAGAGAGAGAGAGAGAGAGAGAGAGAGAGAGAGAGAGAGAGAGAGAGAGAGAGAGAGAGAGAGAGAGAGAGAGAGAGAGAGAGAGAGAGAGAGAGAGAGAGAGAGAGTGAGTGAGTGAGTGAGTGAGTATGGTTTTTACGCAGCTTTAAGCAATATTTCAGCAAAATCACGGCAGGGGACACCAGAAATGGGCTTCACACATTGTACCTATGTCGGGAATCGAACCTGGGTCTTTGGCACGATGAGCGAACGCTTTAACCACTAGGTTCCCTGACCGCCCCTCCTGCCAGAGAGGTAGGTCTATATTATTTCGAAAATAATATGGTGATAGGTACAATGCAGTAGGAATTTTAGTTACTTACCGTATAAGTACAAGTAATTTAACCACTAGGCTACCCGACCACCCCTGACCAACTATCAGTGAGTGAGTGAGTGAGCGAGTATGGTTTTACCCCGCTTTTAGCAATATTCCAGCAATATCACGGCGGGGGACACCAGAAATGGGCTTCACACATTGTACCCATGTCGGGAATCGAACCCGGGTCTTCGGCGTGATGAGCAAACACTTTAAACACTAGGCTACCCAACCACCCCCCCAAGAACTATCAAGGGTGACTGTTGGTATCTGGTAATGTTAACGTGGGAGAAAGATGACAGCACAATACTTACTGACATGAATGACCGTCAGAAATTTTGTCATTACAGTAGTCGTAGTCGAGATAGAGTTCTCCGATGTAGCAGTCGTTACAGGGCTGTTGGTAGATAGTGATCTTGGCCAGCATATGACGTTCCTGGTTGGGATCGCGTTCCAGTGTGTGCTCTTCAATCAACACCTAGACACAAAATGCATCCGGGGTAAAGTAGGTCTTCAGCAACCCATGCTTGCTGTAAAAGGCACCTATGCTTGTCGTAAGAGGCGACTAACGGGATTGCATGGTCAGGCTCACTGATGTGGTTGAGGATGCATGTCATCGTATCCCAATTGCGTGGATTGCTCATGACGTCAATCATTTGATTGTCTGGTCCAGTTTCGATTTTTTCCAGACCGCCGTCATATACCTGGTATATTGCTGAGTGTGGCGGTCTGTAAATAATCAAGTCTGCACCAGACAATCATGTGATTGATATCATGAGCATCGATCCACGCATTTGGGATATGATGACATATATCAACCAAGTCAGTGAGCCTGACCACCTGATCCGGGTAGTCACCAGAAGTTAAATGTAATAAGTCACCCCAGAGAAGAATTAGACAAAAATTACTTGCTGGTTCTGTTGTGTCGTTATGTCGTTAGATCTACTTATATACTTTTACAAGATTTAGCACCATTATGATGAACAGTAAAGTTTCAACTTACACTAAGCAGTATGGTCTTTTACAATAAAGATTTGACTCATCTCAGGTATATGATTTTGTTCAGTTGTTTTACGCTATTATATCCCATGAGGGCCCTCCGTAAACCACTTGTCCCCCTGTGCCCACAGCTTCACTACAGTCAGGCACATGCATCCGATCTCAGCCCTCTGCAAAGTTTAAGGTATTCAGTCTCTCTGTTGTCAGAAAACCCTTGATATTATTCCATAATTGTTAAGAATTGTTCTGTGTGTGATCTTACCAGGTGTTTCCCAGAGGCTGGCGGCTTCTGAACTTTGGCCAATTCCTCCACCTTTAAACAATACAAAGTATTATGAAACTATCCACATGCACAACAAGACAAACATCATCATCATCATCATCATCATCATCATCATCATCATCATCATCACCATCATCATCATCATCATCATAACAAAGCTTACTTACGTTCACAGACTCTGGAGCTGACAACTGCGTGGGTCTCTGTTTCCACATGTCGACACACTGTAACATAAACTAACAGGTTATCACTCTACCAACTCCTAATACATAGAAACAAACACACTAAACCAGGGAGAGCGTCAATAATACTATCCGAATACATTTCTTAATATTCCATCAGATAGTACTACCTTGCGCAAAACATGACACTGAACGGTTGGAATATACCAAGGAATATAATTATCCTTGACAGCTTCATGACAGAAAGAAATATATCGTACTGATTTTCCCACTTTGAGATTGACAGGAGGGTTGGCTCGACTTTTATCTTTCCGTTTGTGGATGAAGTCGTGTAGTTTTAGCTCTGGTGGCGCGGGTGCCTGCTCTAACTTCCTCTTCCTGTTGACCGCTGCCTGTGTAAACTTCTTCACACACCTGACAACAATCGCAAGCTCAGGGTAAGACAGATGGGTAGTTTAGGATCCAATCAGATGAGCTATTTAACAAGATACTTCAACATCTCTTTGAAATTTTAAACCAAAGATGCATTAGTTGTTGCATGTAAAAATATCAGAATATCATGAAAAATGTGCTTTGAAAAGTATTTGTGCTGATAAACATGAATTAAAACATGTTTGATGAAAACTGAAGCTTAAGAATATTTGTAAAATCAAAATATTTTTTACATTTGTATACTTGGTTTTCTCCTCAACGCATCTACTGCTTACCTTGCGACATAGAAAACAGCCCTTTGCGATGGTCCTAGGTGAAGAAAAAAGGTTGTTTTCTTCTTCAGTCTACTTTTACTAGGACCCATCGTCATGTGACCGTCCGTGGTGATGTCCCAACTGATCACGTTCCTGCTCGTCGCCAAACAGGTTAGTTGTGCTTTGTTTGTTCCTCCAACTTTTGGCTTAATTTTGTGGTTAGTGTTCAAAATTAAGCCAAAATGGTCACCACGGACGGTCACATGACAGCAGCGATGGGTACTAGTAAAAGTAGACTGAAGACGGAAACAACCCTTATCTTCACCTAGTCGTAAGGTAAGCAGTAGATGCATTAAGGAGTAATGCAGGATAAGTAAAAACATTAGTAAAATCAGCTGTGATAAAAGTGTAGTGAGTGAATGAGTTGGGTTTAACGGTGCTTTGAACAGTATCCAGTTATATTATGGCATCTCAGCTTAACGTTGGAAGAAAGCACAAAGTGATGCAAGTCTTAGACGTTTACCACTTTGGTGAAACCCATGAGCACAGGTATGGTGCTATCAAACCTAGAAACATAACAGGGGAGAATCGTGATTTCGAACCTAGGATCATAGGTTTCTGCCATGCTCAAGGGACGCATGCTCAAACTGCTGTGCCTTAGATGACTGGGTCACCCGTGTCCCTATAGAGATATGAATTGCAAAGATGAGTTGTTTACACTGCTCACAGACACAGACTGTACAACATTTCTATTCCATATTTCAGGAAAGTCAGAAAGCCGACAGGGCCGTGGGTGACCCAGTCGTCTAAGGCGCCGCGATTCGCTGTGCAGAGTTATGTCCCTTTGGCACGCCAGTAACCTATGATTGTGGGTTCGAATCCCGGTTCACCCCGATTATGTTTCTAGGTTTGTCAGCACCATACCCGTGCTCGTGGCTTTCACCAAAGTGGTTAACGTCTTTCCTCCCACATTAAGCCGTGATATAACTGGAATACTGTTAAAAGCGGCGTTAAACCCAACTCACTCACTCACTCAGAAAGCCGACCCACCTCTTGAGCATGGGATTGTTGAGCTTCTTGTGTTCAAACTGCAGTCGGTTGTTGATAAGCAGCACAGCAGGGGAGGGGTCAAGACAGATGGGTTCCTCCGTCGCCATCAACAGCTGCCTCTCCAGCTGGAAGACATCATCCTGGGTCCAGCGATTGCCGTCGTTTGTCAGGGCGTTGATGTCACACAGGAGCGACTGCAACAAAAGATTTAAGAATTAGAACTAACTTCATAGTCTGTTTGTTGTTTAACGCTGCAATCAGCCATATTTCAGCTGTTTGATGGCGGTATGTAAATAATTGAGTCTGGACCAGACAATCCAGTTGACATCATGAGCATTGAGAACACACAATTGGGATAAGATGACATGCATCAACTAAGTCACCGAACCAACCACCTAATCCATAATGTCGCCTCTTACAACAAGCATGGTGGCTGGGGACCTATACTCATAACCGGAATCCACACGGGTGTATATAGTCTGCTGGATATACAGGAGTTTTGATGACTTGTATGTGACCAAATTATTGGTAATCATTAATAGTGAGCAGGCTCCCTGCCCACTGTAAGAAGACCAGAAACAGTTGGGAGTGAAAGAATAGTACTGGAATTAGCAACAAATGAGGTCAGACCAGTCAAGCAGCACCACACAGGACGATATGTGAAACACTTGTCCTTTATACATTGCATGGTGCATGTCCAACATGCTCCATCTGTACAGTCGGCCCGAGTGAGTGAGTTAGTTGGGTTTAACGCCACTTTTAACAGTATTCCAGTTATATCACGGCGTGTCAGCTTAATGTGGGAGGAAAGCTCGAAGTGATGCAGGTCACAGACATTTACCACTTCGGTGAAACCCACGATCACGGGTATGGTGCTGACAAACTTAGAAACATAATCGGGGCGAATCGGGATTCCAACCCACAATCATAGGTTTCGCGGCACCTTAGACGACTGGGCCACCCATGCCCCCGGTAATCATTAATAAGTAAACTGATATGATGGATATAGTAGTACTTGCTAGAACACTATTTAATCGATCCATTTATCTGATTAGAGTGAGTTGGGTTTGACAATATTTCATGGCATGACATGTGGTGTCAGCTTATTGTACAAGGAAGCCCAAAGTGACATTTTACGCTTGAGTGTTACACCAATCTCCTTAAAATCCGATATAGTGCTTGCTTCTGCAAAACAAAGATCTGAGGACATTCAATTAGGGTCATGTCAGAACAACCTTTCATCCGACCAATCAGAGCGTCGGTTACCAGATCAGGAAAGTGACAGTCGGAATGTGTTTTCTCATCATGCAACCATGAAAAATTTAACACAGAGTATTCTGTATGACAGTTACGGGCATTGCAAATGAATCCACACAATCTAGGCCATCTATTAGCCATTCAAGAATGTTCTTTTTCAAATTTGTCAAAATATGTTTCGAAGCATAGTTGCCGGTTTGAAACTAGTGCTGTAAACCCTGAAAAAGCTGACTTCTTATTGGCTAATGTAGATTTCTTGTCAGTCATTCCACTGGTCATCAAATGGTCATGAAAGGTTGGTCTGACGTGACCCATAATGGGATGTTCTGAGATCTTTGTTTGGTGGTTGCAAGAATTAAGATCTGATTTTAATGAGATTGGTGCAACAAACATGCACAGGTGTGGAGCTGACAGTCCAAGGGAGATAACTGGGAGAATATGAGCTTCAAAGCCATGACCCAAGCTCCTCACAGCGATTGCCCATTCGCAGAGCTCTCTATACTATCACCAACACCAGTCACAGTTCCCAACCAGGCATGGAGTTGAACTCGCAACCAAGATGACCATCATATCTACAACCAAGTGATGACTGGGGTGAAGCCAACTACACTTCCACCACTTAAACTATTTTGTTTGTTTGTCAATTTGAATTTCTATTTCAATCGAATATCATGTAATTAGTACTGGGGGAGATGGGTAGCTTTCTGCTAGTTTGCATCATGAACCAATCTGATTAAACAAGCATAACGTCATCTGGGAAATAGTCAGTTATAAGTCTCTTCCCAATTCACTATCATACACAGACATATACAACATACACCTCACTACATTTAGGGTTAGAGGGAAAAAAATAAGATTCTTGTTGTGGCCGCTTGTAAACTGGTGGCAGCGATGATACAAGGATGGTAATGAAGGTGGTGCGTACTGGGAAGGTGTTGCGTACTGGGAAGGTGTTGCGTACTGGGAAGGTGTTGCGTACTGGGAATGACCTTGCCCATGATCAGGCTATAGGACACAACTCTGCACAACACAATGGCTTTGTCCACTGGGCCAACTGTGGCTTCCTCACCTGATTTGAGGGGCGGTCGGGTAGCCTAGTGGTTAAAGCATTCGCTCGTGACGCCGAAGACCCGGGTTCGATTCCCGACATGGGTACTATGTGTGAAGCCCATTTCTTGTGTCCCCCGCCATGTTATTGCTGGAATATTGCTAAAAGCGGCATAAAAAAACTCACACTCTCAACTAATTTGAACAGGCTGTTGAGCTGGGCTGATTTGGCAAACAACCCATCTGGTGTATGAAGATGGAATAAACGAGCTCCTTCCCCTTTGGATTACCCCATCCTTGTATTAGAAACTGGGTGTATACTGAAGAAGATCGGAAGGGAACGGAATATCTACTCTGCCTGCAGCTGACTAAATTATAAGTCTTCCATCTATTACAGATCTACAGAGATATTGTGGTATCAGTATCCCCAAATCCCATTCCTCTTACTTCAGAATAAAACTTTACCTGCGGTGTTGGTTTCAACATGACATATTGGGTGTCATGTGATCCTGTTGTAGAGCGGCGGAAATCTCGCACTTCCACGATCACGCAACCATTGTAAAACACATTCACCTGAAAGATAGTAATCCCATGTATTACCCCCGAGTATGTCGGATAAATGAAATTCAGTAGTATCAACCTTCATGATTGAAAATCGGACAACACGATAGACAACGACACAAACATGTAATAAAAAAAGGAAAAAGGAAATATTCATGTTATTGCGTTACATTGTATATCGTTACATTCAGTGATGAAGTACATGTATGTTCAAAATGAGGCAAGGAATATCAATGATTACTTGAAGATTCCTCTTTCTCCAAAAATTTCTCCAACAGAATTTCAAAATTCAGAAGTGAAACTCTTTTTTTATTCTTATGAACATGATTAAAAGAGCTCATTGAAATGAAGACAAGCATTTTCTCTCTTTAACCAGGTTAAGGATAACATATGTTTAGAGAGTATTTCTGGGTATTTAGAGAGTATTTCTATGTATTTTGAGAGTATTTCTAGGTAATAAGAGAGTATTTCTGGGTATTTAGAAAGTATTTCTATGTATTTAGAGAGTATTTTTAGGTGATTAGAGAGTATTTTTAGGTCATTAGAGAGTATTTCTGGGTATTTAGAGAGTATTTCTGGGTATTTAGAGAGTATTTCTGGGTATTTAGAAAGTATTTTTAGGTATATAGAGAGTATTTCTAGGTATTTAGAAGTTGGATGTAATCATGACAAAGGGTATTATGAATAACAACGTCTTTATTATACCTGCAAAACAGTTCAGGACTACTTCTTGTCCCTTCACCAGGAAAAACGTGTTTGTATGACAAAGAAGTGAGTGAGTGAGTTGGCTTTAACGCCGCTTTTAACAGTATTCCAGTTATATCACGGCGTGTCAGCTTAATGTGGGAGGAAAGCTTGAAATGATGCAGGTCTCAGACGTTTACCACTTTGTTGAAACCTACGAGCATGGGTATGGTGCTGACAAACACAATCAGGGCGAACTAGGATTCGAACCCATAATCATAGGTTTCTGGCTTGCCCAAGGGACGCAACTCTGAACAGGGAATTGCGGCGCCTTAGACAACTGGGACACCGGTGCCCCCTACCAAAATTGTTTTTCTCTAATAATACTAGGGCAGTTATAATACACCAATTGTGTGATCCGATAAGTATCACGATACAAGGCTCACCATCTGATATGCAGTTCGCAATGTCAAATATGGCAGAATGGATGAAAATGTTTATGTTTTGACTACTAATTTCCACTGACTTGTTTGATGTAAACTTTATCATAGCAAACATTTACGGTATGAATTGATATTTTTCACTTAGTGTGCAACTGTGACCACTACTTGTATCGAGGAGTAAAAAACTGAAATCCATCGATGCATCAATGTAGTGTCCCACCTATGGATCAATGTATTGTCCTACCCCTAAATATTACTCCTTGTTATGATAGCTGTTTTATACATATTATATATAATATTTAAAAATAAACATCTCCACATTAAGAAGCATATAATCTTACCTGTGCTTTCTCCAGTAGGTCAACGAGGAAGGGTGGAAGCTGGGGACACAACAGATCAAGCAACAATCATCAGAACAAGAACAAGTTGTGTGACATTATGGAAATTAATGAAAAACCTTGAAACAAAATGTAAACTGGAAAGGAAGCTGCAGTTCATGCAAAGTAATGAGTGAGTGAGTTGGGGTAGTTGGGCTTAACACCGCCTTGAACAGTATTCCAGTTATATCATGGTGTCAGCTTAACACCGCCTTGAACAGTATTCCAGTTATATCATGGTGTCAGCTTAACACCGCCTTGAACAGTATTCCAGTTATATCATGGTGTCAGCTTAACACCGCCTTGAACAGTATTCCAGTTATATCATGGTGTCAGCTTAACACCGCCTTGAACAGTATTCCAGTTATATCATGGTGTCAGCTTAACACCGCCTTGAACAGTATTCCAGTTATATCATGGTGTGGCAGGTTACACCACTTTGAACACTATTTCAGTTATATCATGGTGTCAGCTTAACACCGCTTTGAACAGTATTCCAGTTATATCATGGTGTGTCAGCTTAACTCTGCTTTGAACAGTATTCCAGTTATATCACTGTGTGTCAGCTTAACACCGCTTTGAACAGTATTCCAGTTATATCATGGTGTGTCAGCTTAACTCTGCTTTGAACAGTATTCCAGTTATATCACTGTGTGTCAGCTTAACTCTGCTTTGAACAGTATTCCAGTTATATCACTGTGTGTCAGCTTAACTCTGCTTTGAACAGTATTCCAGTTATATCACTGTGTGTCAGCTTAACTCTGCTTTGAACAGTATTCCAGTTATATCACTGTGTGTCAGCTTGATGTGGGAGGAAAGCAGGTAGTGATGCACATCTTAGACGCTTTCCACTTTGGTGAAACCCAATAGCACAAGAATGGTGCTGACAAACCTAGAAACACAATCATAGGTGTCTGGCATTCCCAAGGGATGCAACTCTGCACAGCAACTTGTGGTCCCTTTGATGACTGGGCCAACCAAGTCACACAGGGTAATATAGAAAGTCAGGTAACATGGCAATATATAAAGTAGCATGGTTTTGCATTGTGATGCACAGTGTCATGTACTGCCTGCACATCGCAATGTAAGAAGAAAAGTCAGACCATGCACTTACCTGGGCAGCGTCAACATATTCCAAGAGTTCCGATTCCTGCAAATACAGCGAGTGAGTGAGGGAGTTGGGTTACAAATGGAGGTCTTACTTTTAATACACAATGTTTATAGATACCCTCAAATCTGCAATATCCAGCCTTATTGTATAGTGATAATACCCTCAAATCAGACTCCACCAAATAGAAGCAATGGAGGGCCAACAGGGGATTTGAGCACAATTGCAATCACAACATGGCTTTCATCACACTTCAAAAGAGTAGATCCAATTTTCGTATCACTGTGTGTGTGTGTGTGAGTATGGTTTTACGCCGCTTTTAGCAATATTCCAGCAATATCACGGCCGGGGACACCAGAAATGGGCTTTACACATTGTACCCATGTCGGGAATCGAACCCGGGTTTTAGGCGTGACAAGCGAACGCTTAAACCACTAGGCTACCCGACCGCCCCTCGTATCACTGTGACATTTTTAACTTTTCCTTGATCTCCTTGACTGGTGCTACTTGGAAACACATAGTTCAGGTAGTCAGTTAATAAATACTGTACACGTAACAAGCGCCCCGCTCTAATAAGCGCCCACGGCGATATTTGCTAATATATTGGCTAGTGAACAATCCCAATTAGCACCCCTTCCGATTGATCAATGTACACAAAACTTATTTATTCGCGTATAATACGCACTCGTGTGTTATATGCACCCTTAATTATTGGGAATTAAATTCTGAAAAAATATATCTGTCGTACATAAACATTTCAGGCTGTCAGCATAAACCACAAAATGTATCTTTTATCTCTGTTTTTTTCACCAAAATAATATTCTAATAAGATCCCCCTATTTCTAATTTTGAGAGCGCCCAGGGCACTTATTACGTCGAAAACGGTATGTCCTGAAATGGATGTTTTTGTATTGGCCTTGTTATAGGTCTATGACTGTCATTTGACTCATAACAAGGCCAATATGAAAACACCCATATGATAATGCAATTATATTCAATAACACGAGTGACAATCCAAACAATTGAGGTACGACAAACAATCAGCCAGGCAGCCAGCCCACTGTAACTATTGGATCTCTATATTAGTCTGCTCTGCAAGCAAGCAGTGGGACCCCTGAACATCCGGGGTAGAAACCATGCAAGAGTGAGTGAGTATGTTTTTACACCGCTTTTAGCAATATTCCAGCAATATCACGGCGGGGGACACCAGAAATGGGCTTCACACATTGTACCCAAGTCGGGAATCGAACCTGGGTCTTCGGCGTGACGAGCGAACGCTTTAACCACTAGGCTACCCGACCGCCCCCGAAACCATGCAAGAACCCATGCTTGCCGTAAAAGGCGACTATGCATGTCGTAAGAGGCGTACAGGATCAGGTGGTCAGGCTCGCTGACTTGGTCGATGCATGTCATCGTATCCCAATTGCTTGGATCGATGCTCATGTCAATCACTAGTTTGTCTGGTTCAGACTCGATTATTTACAGACCGCCGTCATATAGCTGTATTATTGCTGAGTGTGGTTTGTTTGTTGTTTAACGCCTCACTCAGCAATATTCCAGCTATATGACGGTGGTCTGTAAATAATCGAGTCTGGACCAGGCAATCCAGTGATTGATATCATGGACATCGATCCTTGCAATTGGGATCGATGACATGCATCAACTAAGTCAGCGAGCCTGACCACCCGATCCCGTTAGTCGCCTTTTACGACAAGCATAGTCGCCTTTTACGGCAAGCATGGGTTGCTGAAGACCTATTCTACCCCGGAATCTTCACGGGTCTGCTGAGTGTGGCATTAAACAACAAACAAACAAAACAAATACAAGCAGTGGATACTATGGATCTATTCTGCCACAAAATAAGATGACAATGAGACTATTCTGACTAAATAACTCTGATAGTCCTGTTCCCTCATAACCAGCTTCATGGCAAACTTACAAACACATAGGAAATAGTGGTACCTCATATGGCAGTTTGATGGTCTCTGACTCCACGCCATTCCTGGCCTTCAGCATCAGAGAGTAGCCCTCATTGGCAGGGTACAGGTTGAGAACCAAACAATTCAGCTTATCTCGGCGCACCAGCTTGCCGAGTAGGTGGGTGGCATGGTCCAACTCCTGGGAGGCAAACATGATACACATACAACACGACACACCAAGTCCTTTTGCAGTGTTTCATATAACTGAGGGTCTTTGAGGTGCTCCCCTATGATATTTGTGTGAGTGAGTGAGTGAATTGGGTTTAACGCCACTTTTGACAGTATTCCAGTCATATCGCGGCGCGTCAGCTTAATGTGGGAGGAAAGCCCGAAGTGATGAAGGTCTCAGACGTTTACCACTTTGTTGAAACCTACGAGCATGGGTATGGTGCTGACAAACACAATCAGGGCGAACTAGGATTCGAACCCATAATCATAGGTTTCTGGCTTGCCCAAGGGACGCAACTCTGCACAGCGAATTGCGGTGCCTTAGACGACTGGGCCCCCCCTATGATATTTGAATCTAGGAAACTCTATAAATGTTACATTAGGGTACAACAGGGACCCATTACAGGACTCAATTTACTTACATAAAACATGCACCAGTGCAACCTATTATTAAAAAAATGCAAACTAATATTTATGTCTACATGCACCTAGTTAATTTCAAAGAAATAATGTTTTCGTCTGACTGGCCCTTACTTGTCAACATAGATGTTTGAACACACAGTTTGTCATCTAAGCTTTATTAACCATAAGACTTATCTAATCCCTGTGTTGTGTGTAACTTGTGACCCAGATCAGAGATCTCAGATGTTACCATGGTTACACCTTTGCGAAATGGATGGGACCAGGGTGCAACTAGCATTTCATGTCAACAAGCACCAGTTGCAAGTTAAATCAAGTTTCTAAAGCAGCCCTCATTTTTGCAACTAATTTAGTCACTGTCGCAATCTATTTTTGTATATACGATCAGTATATTCATGTCAGTCGCCAGCTTGCGCCTGGGCATAACTCGAGTTTTGTGATCGAAATATGAAAAATATATATATATCAGTAAACAAACTCATCAGGTAAGACGAGCTCCACACCCTTAAGGAAGAGCTTATAGATTATTATTCATTGTCACGTGTCATTTGAGGATATATTGTTCATGACACGACAATATATGTGCATTTATGTCTTATGTTCACAACATTGTCTTGTGTTTTTAACGAAAGGTAAGAGCAAGGTAAGAGTGTTTTTTTTTAACATGCTTTAACATGGGGAAAAGGTCAGACATTTCACACTTGTGACAATAGACCTTGTGTCTGGGGGATCGGGGGTGAAGTTTAGGCCAGTTCCGGCAGTAGCAAGTTGCGAGGAAGCTATGTCCGATTTTTTTTAAGTCCTGATTTAACTTTGACTTTTTTCTGTAATAACCCACACTGTCAGATGAACAGAAACTGCCTTAATTTCACTGCAAGGTGTCTCACTCAGAGACATTTGATTAAAACAATCGACTTGTACTTCGTTGCTGATTAACAAAGATAATCCAGAAAGTCATTGGACTCCAGTGTTTGCCAAGACACGAACAGAACTTGACTTCATAACTATTCAATCTGAAATACTAGTACCACAAATTGAATGGAATATACCAATAGAATAGTTTTTGTCACAGCCAATGTTTGCATTGTGTTTGGTGAAGTAGGACTTCTATTTACCAATTGAAAAGTTGCCTACATATTTTCTTGGCTCCTTAAAATACTATACCGCAAAGTGGCTCCCTGGAAAAATACATTAACATTGAGGCCTGTGAAATCTAGCCCTACCTTTCTCTTTCATGCTTATTTGTGAGTGCGAGTGAGTGAGTTGGGTTTAACGCCGCTTTCAACAGTATTCCAGTTATATCACAGCGGGTCAGCTTAATGTGGGAGGAAAGACCGAAGTGATGCAGGTCTCAGACGTTTACCACTTCGGTGAAACCCACTAGCACGGGTATGGTGCTGACAAACCTAGAAACATAATCGGGGTGAACCAGGATTCGAACCCACAATCATAGGTTTCTGGTGTGCCCAAGGGATGCAACTCTGCACAGAGAGCTTATTTGTAAACATTGTACATGTAACATTGAGAACCGATGCGAAAAATGTAAACTGTAAGACTTTCTTCTATCATGGCTATTGTAAACAAATAAACAATCAACTGACTAATTTTCTAATATTTCACAAACTGTCACATACAAAGATCATAAAGTCAAAGTCAATCTATGCACCAAAGATACTCCTAAATAATTGTAGAACTACCTCGAAGTGATTTCTTAAACTTTCCCCTCCATCCCATCAACTTCAAGAAGCTTTGAGTTCCATTATTTAACGAACTACCAAACAAACTCCCATGATCCCTGTGCCCTACATCATACTGACCTTCACCTCCGGGTGCTTGTTGCATTCCTCGATGTAAAGGTCAACCAGCTTCTGGTGGAGTGACTTCCTACAGTAGTGAATAGATTCAGCATAAGTTCAATGCTTTGAGATACAGGGGACATGGATTTTTACTCATCCACATTGTTTTCAAGGCTCCTTCTGGCCCCTTCATAAGGTTTGAAGGGCATTTATGCACCATGCCCTGATGTAAATGGTCACTCTTGGTTTAGATTGTTATTGTTTGTTGTTTAACGCCGCACTCAACAATATTCAAACAATACGACGGCGGTCTGTAAATAATCGAGTCTGGACCAGACAATCTAGTGATTGACAAAATGAGCATCCATCCACACAATTGGGACACGATGACATGCATCAACCAAGTCAGCAAGCCTGACCATCTGATTTAGTATGCCTCTTAGGACAAGCATAGTCGCCTTTTACGGCAAGCATGGGTTCTTGAATGGTTTCTACCCCAGATGACATGCATCAACAAATTCAGTGAGCTTGACAACCCAATCCGTTAGTCACCTCACGACAAGCATAGTCGCCTTTTACGGCAAGCATGGGTTCTTGAATGGTTTCTACCCCAGATGACATGCGTCAACAAATTCAGTGAGCTTGACAACCCAATCCGTTAGTCACCCTCACGACAAGCATAGTCGCCTTTTACGGCAAGCATGGGTTCTTGAATGGTTTCTACCCCAGATGACATGCATCAACAAATTCAGTGAGCTTGACAACCCAATCCGTTAGTCACCCCTCACGACAAGCATAGTCGCCTTTTACGGCAAGCATGGGTTCTTGAATGGTTTCTACCCCAGATGACATGCATCAACAAATTCAGTGAGCTTGACCACCCAATCCGTTAGTCACCCTCACGACAAGCATAGTCGCCTTTTACGGCAAGCATGGGTTCTTGAATGGTTTCTACCCCAGATGACATGCATCAACAAATTCAGGGAGCTTGACAACCCAATCCGTTAGTCACCCCTCACGACAAGCATAGTCGCCTTTTACGGCAAGCATGGGTTCTTGCATAGTTTCTACCCCAGATGACATGCATCAACAAAGTCAGTGAGCTTGACCACCCAATCCGTTAGTCACCCCTCACGACAAGCATAGTCGCCTTTTACGGCAAGCATGGGTTCTTGAATGGTTTCTACCCCAGATGACATGCATCAACAAATTCAGTGAGCTTGACCACCCAATCCGTTAGTCACCCCTCACGACAAGCATAGTCGCCTTTTACGGCAAGCATGGGTTCTTGAATGGTTTCTACCCCAGATGACATGCATCAACAAAGTCAGTGAGCTTGACCACCCAATCCGTTAGTCACCCCTCACGACAAGCATAGTCGCCTTTTACGGCAAGCATGGGTTCTTGAATGGTTTCTACCCCAGATGACATGCATCAACAAATTCAGTGAGCTTGACCACCCAATCCGTTAGTCACCCCTCACGACAAGCATAGTCGCCTTTTACGGCAAGCATGGGTTCTTGAATGGTTTCTACCCCAGATGACATGCATCAACAAATTCAGAGAGCTTGACCACCCAATCCGTTAGTCACCCCTCATGACAAGCATAGTCGCTATTTACGGCAAGCATGGGTTGCTGAGGACCTATTCTACCCCGGATGACATGCATCAACAAAGTCAGTGAGCTTGACCACCCAATTCGTTAGTCACCCCTCACGACAAGCATAGTCGCCTTTTACAGCAAGCATGGGTTGCTGAGGACCTATTCTACACGGGTCCCTGGATTTGGATATTGTACTTAGTGCCATGTTTAAAGTTTAGAGAGTCACTCTATAAGTTGGGTCATTGTTAACTATTACACTGAAACACCTCATAAAATGTAAAACAACACTCAAAAAGGTGATGTTTTAATGACTGGCATCAAACTTGCTATGGCTGCTTACAGGAAAATGCCCAATCTTAATGAAAACATGAAATGTTTAAGGATAATAACTTCTTTGTTGTTTGTAAGGAGGTCTCAGGGCTATCATGGGAACGTTATTACTCAGTATTCATCTGAGGGAGGGGCAAGAAGTAGTGAACAGCGGTAGAAATTGGCACTTGTCCTATAGCCATACCAAATTGCCCAATAGTTAAGGTATCATGAGGACCAGTAGAAATTTGTCATTTTATGGGTTTCGCTATATGTTATCATTATAAGGACTAGTGGACTAAAACTGTTTCTACCACTGGAAAGTTCATGTCTTCCTGTTCCAACTTCTAAATGTCTATCAAAGACTTGTCATCTTAATGTGGGAGAAAATAATCTAAAAACTGAAGCTTGTAGTTATCTACCACAATGGTGAGTGAGAAAGTTGGGTTCAACACTCGAAGTGATGCAGGTCTAGGACATTTACCACTTTGGATTGTTTGCTTGTTGCTTAACACCGCAATCGGCAATATTCCAGCTATATGACGGCGGTCTGCAAATAATAGAGTCTGGACCAGACAATCCAGTGATTCACATCATGAGCATCAATCCACGCAATTGGGACACAATGACATGCATCAACAAAATCAGCGAGCCTGACCACCCGATCCGTTAGTCACCTCTCACGACAAGCATAGTCTCCTCTTACGATAAGCATGAATTGTCACTTTGGTGAATGGCCCCAACACAAACCCTTACCCAGATAACTGCTTGGAAAACTACCATCATGGGAAAATTGACCCCTGATAATGAACATTACACATGCATCCAATTAAACTTTGTTTGAACTTTTTAATTTTATGTCGTATATATTATATATCTTGAAGTGTATTTATGGGGGTAATTTCCCCCATATTTAAATAGAAATTAAGCAGGCTAAAAGTAATTAACATACCCCTTGCTGCTGGTGGATGGTGGTGAAGGCAAGAGGCTGGCAGGATGCTGTCTGCTGCACTGTAGCAAGTACTGCAACACAAATTGCTCTTAAATTGAAGTTATTTACTACAAGTTTGTATAACATGTTATTATTTTTCAAATATGAAGCTTACATGATATACAGCTTTTCCATTGATGAAAGGCTGTCACATGACTGCGAAACTAACGTTCATAACTGTATTAAGTAGGGCCAGCTAAAAAGATTGATAAACAGAATTACCGTTGATTATCAAACAAATATTAACAAATATGGATATCTGTTTGTTTGTTTGCTTATTTGTTGTTTAACGCCGCACTCAGCAATATTCAAGCTATATGACGGCAGTCTGTAAAAAAATCAAGTCTGGACCACACAATCCAGTGATCGACATCGTGAGCATCGATCCACGCAATTGGGAAATGATGACATGCATCAACCAAGTCAGCGAGCCTGACCATCCGATCCTGTTGGTCTCCTCTTATGACAAGCACAGTCGCCTCTTACAGTAAGCATGGGTTGCTGAAGACCTATTCTACCCCGGTTCTTCACGGGTCTCGATATCTAAATCATGTCACAGATAATATCTTACATAAACTACTATGATGAAATAATACTTAGAATTATCAAAACAGACTTGTTATTGTCAATCATGTTGATTGCCAAAGACATAAAGCAACTGATTTTGTTATATCTTAAATGTCCACAAAGTAATCCATGCATAAATGTGTCACCACTCACCAGTGATGTGAATATGTTGCTCTCTTTTAGACTTTTGTTTGCACATTTGCTCAAAGTCACTTCTCTTATTCTTATAGATAATTGATTGATATTTAGGTAATGATTATCGATCTCTGTGATCTGTATCAATACCCAGCTCCAGTTTTAATGGGACAGTACGTCGATGGTTCTGTGTGTTGTTAAATCATGCATGAAATAATTCCGAGTGTGACATCACATGCCCCCATCAATTCTCAAACAAAACAATAGAGCTCTGATGAGTTGCCAAATTCTAATTACCAGCTTGATTAGATTAAAAGCCAGTGTTTATCAAAGCCTAGATTACAATATAAATATGCCTCGGTCATATGAAGCCAATCACTCTCCTACCCGGTGTTCCATGCGGCCAGCCAAGTTCCTCCATCACATCTTCAAATCTCACACAGTCCATTCATTTGTTTTTCATGTTTCATTTTGGACGAATGTACACATTTAAACATAACAGTATTCCAGTTATATCACAACGTGTCAGCTTAATGTGGGAGGAAAGATCGAAGTGATGCAGGTCTCAGACATTTACCACTTTGGTGAAACCCACAAGCATGGGTATGGTGCTGACAAACCTAGAAACATTATCGGGGTGAACAGGGATTCGAACCCACAATCATGGGTTTCTAGCGTGTCCAAGGGACGCAACTCTGCACAGCGAATCACGGCGCCTGAGACGACTGGGCCACTCGTGCCCCCTGTGATGTGATGAAGAGCTACATTGTCTTGCACCTCACTGTGGCAGTTGTAGTAGTATATCTATATAATTATGCAAAACAATATGTAAAGAGCACCAAAAGGCTTGCCTTAGCCCATCTGTTCTTGTTTCAGAATTAGTGCATTTGTTTACAATCTCATTAAAATCAGATCTTAATTCTCGCTACCGCTAAACAAAGATCTGAGGACATTCCATTGCGGGCTATGTCAGAACGACCTTTCATCTGACCAATCAGAGCATCATTTATCGGATCATTCAAGTGGCAGTTGGAATGTGATTTTTGATCGTACAACCTCGAAAAAAACCACACAGGGTATTCTGAACAACAGTTATGGGCTTTATGTCTGTATTCATACAATCTAGACCATCTATTAGCCATTCCAGAATGTTCTTTTGTTCAGACTTTAATTTTTTAATTGAGTATATCTCAAAATTGGTTTCGAAGCGTAGTCGCAAGTTTGAAACTAGTGCTGTAAAGTTCGATTAAGCTGCCCTCTGATTGACTATTGTGTATGTCGACTTCTAGTTCGTCATTCCGTTGGTCGTCAAAGTTCACGAAAGGTCAGTCTGACGTGACCCATAATGGGATGTCCTCAGATCTTTGTTTAGCGGTAGCGAGAACTAAGATCTGATTTTAATGAGAATGGCCAACGTCCTGTCCCTTTGAGAACACATTTTGACATTCCTACGTTTTTCAATAGACTTTATTCTTGAAATGGCCCAAACTAAACTACTGCCACATTACTGGGCAAACCCCTTGAAATTCCCCAGCACTAATAAATACAGATTCAATGTTTCTGATCATTTAGACACTATAATCTTGCAATTAGCGTTTTAGAATACATTGGGAAAGGTGTTTGACTGCATGCCCATGCACAAATATCCTCGCTACAACCGATCCTAGTGAACAAGATGCAGAAATTCACTGTAAAATTATCAACTCAATAGTTTTTCGGGGGAATACAAGCCGGACCTCTGATGGCATGTTTCCGACCCCAAACAATGGGCTCAAACACTGTTTAGCAAGCATGTGGTCACACCTACCTCAGCATACTGAGCTGCCCGCTGTATGCTGGCAGTCATCCTCACGGACCTGTCGCCCCTTCTCACTCACTCACACATACACTGTACACCTTGGCTTCACAGCTACATCTGAAATAAAAAAGATAAGACACCACCTACAACCACCATTGTTGGCAAAATGAAATAGCTGAATAGTACGACGTCCTTCCTCAATCATTTACTAACGACCAAGAAAACAAATCTGACAATATCGGTATTAATATTTCAGATTTTTACCTGCACGGTCGATGGAATCTTTCAGGTAAAACAGAACTAATCAACGCTTGCACAATAATAAACCTAAGCGTCAAATTTCGCATTGTTTACATAGCACGAAATTAGGTGACACTGTCGTACCGTTCCCAATCAATCAGTATAGTCGTTCGAGATTGCACTTGCAGTAATTTCAAATATGTATGTTCTACTTACTTTTAATTACTGTTTTTGTAACACTATATTAAACATACAGACACATCCTGTCTCGTAATATGACTAATATTTCTGCAGGGTAATTTTCGCTGACATTTCTCTCACAAAAGCGACATCTATTGGTGAAACAAAGTCAGCTTGACTTACCTCCCTTGTTCGTGGAGTTTTCATTTCTGTCTGCATTTTCTTAAACAAATGTCAACGAAGCCCACCTTAAAATAGGTACTCAGCCGATCAGGATTTTTGTTCGTTTTGGGGGGTTTATCTTTTAAAATTTATTGTTCCCAGAGTTGTAGAGTAATGTATCAACTGAGAGCAAAGAATTACATTCTGAGAATAAATGTGACCATTTTTTGTCAAAGTCAAAGGAACCAAACCGAAAATAGAAATACTTTCAAAGCTACTTAAAAACATATATTCAATCGAGAAATGGATTGCTTTAAAAAGGTGGTCATCCTTTTTACAGCAATCCATTTCTCGATTGAATATATGTTTTTAAGTAGCTTTGAAAGTATTTCTATTTTCGGTTTGGTTCCTTTGATTCCACATACATGAATATGTCTTTTTCCCAATAAAAGTATATGATTGATTAAAGTATTAGACTAGATAGAACCAAACCAAATGAGATATTTTGTCAATTTATTTTTGTGTGAAAGATAATTGTAAAAGCCAAAGTCCGAGATCATTCCAAAATTGTAATTCCATGTAAAAATCTGTACTGAAAACCTTAAAGTTTTATCTCCTTCAGTTTACATCTAAAATCAGTAAATATATTTTTCCAAATAAAATCTCCGTGAAAACTTGATTGCCATTTATCACAAACTCTAAGATTATGTTCATTGAAAATTAATATGATTTAGCATTATTTAGCTAAATCGGTTTATGGTCAGCTGACATTCAACTCCCAATTACAATTGACTTATTATCTGTTACTGCCAAATCATTACCGGTCTTACGCAACGTCTCTTTGCACAGCTGCATACCTGCTTGCATTTTTTGGATTTTTTAGAATCGGTGAGCTGGTGGCAGGGTCAGCCAAGGATTTCTCGCTTAAGGCGTGTCTCTTGTCTGATATTCACGTGGCAGCAGATATAAGTCACATAACGATATGTTTACGCCCATCCAAGACGGATCAGAGCGACAGAGGTGTGCAAATAAAAATAACAGCTATTCCTCACTCTGTCCTGTCAGAGCAATGCAACAGTTTCTATCAATCAGACCACCAGTGCACGGTCATATGTTCGTCCATTTTGATGGACGTCCTTTAACTAGATTCCAATTACAGGCAATTTTAAGAAAGACCCTGGCTACTTTCTTTACCATAGCTCAATCTACATTTGTTGTCGTCACACCACAGCAGCAATTAATGGGGTTAGTTCCAAGCAGACATGGGCGTTGGAAATCGAACTGTTACAGCAAATATATCCGCATTACTCAACTCGCAACGCCGGGCGGGTATGGCCCATTTTAAAACAAATGTATGCAGGACATTGTTTAGTTGTAAGTAAAGGAGCAGTTTGGGTAAGTATGTAACTTCACTTTGGGGGAGGCGCATATTTTTTCTTTTCCTTCCCAGTCCCTTATCCACTCCCCAACTCCCTTCCACATCATAATTTACCCCAAATATAATATAATGTGTGGATGTCTGCGGTGTGCAAAATATTGCGCCCCGCTGTTTGGCATGGTGCAGTCGGGGGTTTGGTTTAACACCATGCTGGTGTGTGTACGATACTCTGGCTGCCTGCTAACTACAGCGGGAGCGCATATTCTTCTGCCCGCTGTTTCCGCGGGGGGAGTGACAGTATCTTTGCTGTGGGTCCTGTCTGCCAAGCACGGTGGAGGGACAACTTGACCCGCGATAGGGTCTGTATGCGATTTCTAGTCCGTGGTAGCACCTTGCTTATCGCCCCCGCCTGCATCATCCACACTCTGCTTATAATATCCCTCAAAACATCATTATTTGTTAATCTTTCCTTCTAAGGTAGTCTGAACATAATTTATCATAAAAGATTCTCGCACCTTTAAGATGATTCATCAGATCACTTAAAAAACCCTGTTTATATACAAATGCTGTAAAATATTTGTCCAGTTTTCTTTATTGTTGTTGTCCAGGGGTCTGGTATATTGAAAATGAAATATCTATAGTCTGACATTATAGATAACATAACCAGTCAGGAGATGTGAAGGGGATTAAGAGGTATTTCACTGGATTTGATGAAAATTATGTCACTCGGCTGTCATCTGTATTGATTATTTCGTGCGAAATACATTTCAATCTGTCATACACCTGTTGTATTTTTAATGTATCTCGTATGAAATCGTATTGCTATGGATCTACAAAACTGAGTCTGTATTTTACTTATTGACTTTCTACAGTATATTCATTCGGGAAAATATAATTACATAAAGGGATTTGTGAACACACACTTAATTATCAATATTGAAACCTCTTCATTTAAAATAACACATATTTAAACACACGCGCAAACGCACGCACGCACGCACGCACACACACACACACACACACACACCAGTTTTACAAACAGTAGTTGATGTTATGCTTCCCTTCAAGCCAGGATCCAGCTACCGTTGAAATTTCAAATCTAGCCAAGACATAGGTATCTATTATAGTCTTATTTAATCACAAATCTCTTACTGTACATTATAAATGCAACAAGGGAACTAACCAGTTCAATGGATCACCACACGTCCAAGACAGGTATATACATCTTCCGGATGTTCCAACTGAACAAAATAAACTGAGCACAGTTTATTAGTTTCAGTATATTTCTAAAAAAAACCACCACATTGCACATATGCATTTACACACATAATTTATATATATATATATATATATATATATATATATATATATATATATATATATATATATATATATATGATAAAAAATATCAACTTACATAAACATACAATAAATCTGGACAGATTTCCAAGTGTTGTTGTTCAGTCATGAGAACTGTAAAATGAGCATCATTTGCCTGACGTTGTCCATCGTATCTCCAGTTATACTGGATATTTGTAATAAAAGGTTTCAGTACTAAACAGTTTATATCAATAAAATTACTCAACCGATGTGTAGCACATCTAAATTTATGTCCTGCAGTTATCGGCCTCAGTTTTAAACAATTAGGGTCTTTTATTTCAATATAACAATTGGTAGTATTTTTACATTTGTATAAATATTCGGACATTTGTGAACTTTAGGTAATCCTCCTTTCAGTTGTAGTATTTTTTTATGAACATTGGTATTATTTGTAACTGCTACCTCGGAACTGTCCTTATGATTAATTATAATCCAAACCATTTTCTTTTAATCGGTAACACCCCCACCCTCCCCCACCCCCACCCCCACCCCCCTCCACCCCCAAACACACACGCACACCTTTATCAGCCTATGTGGTAATGACAGTTTTATGATTAAGATTATCTTAAAGTGCACGTCGTTTTTTATTACATTTTCCTTTACTTATTTGGGCACGTTTGTGGAAATAAAAGAACATTAGAAATAGAGTCAATATATTTATCTAGATGTGAACTACCTTTCTTCGGTGTCCAATAATATTTGTTCCTTAATATTTTTTATGGTTCGTTATACAATGTTTTTCCTGCTCATATGCATTGATATTGCTGGAATATTGCTAAAAGTAGTGTAAAACCATACTCACTCACTCATATATTTTCATTGAGTCATGAGCGTTTGCTTTGGCTGAAGTGATTGTAGGATATATTTGTAATTTTTTTAAATGGATATTCTTATGTTCTGTACAGTGTTCTACCCTCTACTTTTTCTTAAAAGCTTAATTTTTCTAGTTTTGATTCTGTTCAAAGACTCAACAAGTGTGTCTTGTATCATGGTGTTGTTTGTTTGTCGCACCACTCATCAATGTTCCAGCTTTTTGCTCTGCGGCCAGTTGACAAACAAGTGGTAACATAATGCGCAACGTCAAACGCGTTCTGGAACGTAATCAACCAAGTCATCCTTGGTCATCTTCCAAAAGGCAAAGGCGTTAATTGACCATAAAAGTCCAGTTTCCACCCTTGGCGAAATAGGCTGGAATTTCCAGACTCGATCGTAGCGCCACCAGTGGCTGTTACTTGTTATGTCACTTCTCTGTCCACTCGATTGACCAATCAGATTCCAGCTCTCATATCATGCATTTGCTTCAAACAGAATGACGGCGCCCTGTCAAGACTATCTGATTGATAATCAAGACACATATTGTATTAAAACGGGTCTTACCCCGCGAAGTGCGTCAATCACTTGAGCACATGAACAGATTTGGAAAAAATCTGTCTACACCAAGATAACGGAACACATGCTTTGCAAATCCTGCAGTCGACCGAAATCTGCACATTGAAATCAATGTGGTTTACGAACCGGATGCCTTTGCAGGTACATCGACTTGTGCAGAGGACATTTTTGTATGAACTGTAGGGTCTGAGATTGAAGCCAATCAAAATTTAATAAAAGAGACCGAAATCTGCACATTGAAATCAATGTGGTTTACGAACCGGATGCCTAGTTCCTCGCGCGATTTTGATTGGACAATGCATAGACTCGTTAGTCCAGGCAAAATTTAACTCCTGAATCCAGCCTAGTTCGGCAAGGATTGAAACTGGACTTTTATAGTCAGTTAACTCCCTTGCCACGGGAGTATATCCTTGGTGAAAACGTCAACTACGGGAAAGGACTCTTAACTGAATACCGACAGTAGTGCTGAATGGAGCCACCAGAACTTCTCCATAATGTAGAATTGTTTGTTTGGCAAAGGGATCTGTTGACATCTCTTCTTTGCAGGTACATCGACTTGTGCAGAGGACATTTTTGTATGAACTGTAGGGTCTGAGATTGAAGCCAATCAAAATTTAATAAAAGAGACAATGTGAAAATTCTGAATGGACTGGAGTCGGGTAAACTGTAAACGACATTATTTCTTTCTTAATCTGATTTTATTCACAGTCTTTACATCCCGTAAAATGATAACTTTTCATAGCCACTGCTTAAAGATACATTCTAATATTCTACCACCCTACTCACAAGTACCAACCAGTTCTAATAAAGCAATATATGTAATATATGATTAATCTATAGAAAATGTTTCCAATCTTTGATTCTTCTTTTATGTCCATAAACATAGATTTACAAAGGTGATATAGGCTCATACTAACTTTGAATGAACACTACTATTTTTGTAGGTCAGGTATATTTGTTATGAAAAAAAATCAATATTGTCAACATTTTGATATTCCCCGAACACGAAGTCTGGCATTGGATCATAATCAAACATCTCAAAATCACGCTCAAAAATCTTCCTCAGTTTGACCTTAGCATGATAGGTCAGTGAGCCATATGCCTGTCTCAGTGCTCTATTTCTCCCTTCATGTAGAATGCTAGGCTCTGACGCATTGTATGCTTTTTGTGCTAACTCATTGAAACGTTCAAATGTAATTTTGGTATCATTTGCTTGTAAAGGAAATGGAATCTCTTTTGATATCATTCCCCGAATCTGACATGTTTTCCAGAGCGCCCGGAGTCCTTCAATAAATGACAGCCCACAGGTTTCAATTTCGACCCGTCTATCATAAACGAGACTTACCCAGCAGGAAATCGTTTCACGCTTACCATGGAAACCATATTTTAGTATAGCCTCCCTCGTAGTCTTATAGTCAAGCATACCCATAGCGTCACTCACAGACAACATGTCATCTCGAAACGTCTCTATCTTCCCTATGTACGTATATTCAGTCTCACAGAACTTACAATGTTCACTGATTGGCATAAAATGGGAATCAATATGCTGTTTGTTGTCATGCTGGTAAATAAAGTAATTCACGAACTCGGCAAAACTTATGTCATGTCCACAACGTACGCTTCCAGTTCTGGAAGCGTTGCCCCGAACCACCCTCAGGACTGACTTTCCCACACTCTTCCAAAATGAAGGATTGATACAGTACATTTTATCAACATATCCTGAAAATAATCTCGTGTATGGGTTTCTAACGAACGCAATCATTGTGCTAGATTTTCTCAGTTTTGAGCCGCGATCGTATGTAATTGAAACATCCATATTGGTTCTTGTTCTCTCCATCAGCATTTTTCTTATATGCATCATCAACATGTCTCCAGAAGGTACTGCCACTCTTTTGTATCGTACACAAGGAATATTTTGGCTGGTTGGTTCTGTGGTCTTGAGTAAGAGGGCTTTGGGCCTTCTCTGGAGACCTTAGGCCTTAGACGTTTACCAGTTCGGTGAAACCCACGAGCACGGGTATGGTGCTGACTAAACTAGAAACATAATCGGGGCGAACCTGGATTCGAATCCACAATCATAGGTTCCTGGCGTGTCCGAGGGAGGCAACTCTGCACAGCGAATTGCGGACCCTTAGACGACTGGGCCACCCGGGTCCCTATAAACATACAAATTATATAATTAAAGAATATATACATTGTTGCTGCATATGTATATGTACATAGATTGATAATTAATAGACATATAATGGCAATTAGGGAATTGCATTGAACATCATTTTTGATACTGATGTATGAGATAAAACGTTTTGAAAGTTTTATATGAGTGTTGTAAACCTTCATGAAACACCTCTTGAACAGGAGTTGTATGATACTCTTTCAAATCTTCTCAGCAAAAGGATGATAGACTGTACATCAAAAGTTGTGAAATGTAGACACCAAAGGCTGGAGCTGCTTGAATATTGCTCGACATAAATTTAAAGTTCACCATTGGAATATTGAAGTCATCACTCTTGTCATACAGTCTTGAGGAGAGTTTTTGTCACTTTGAATCTTCACAAACTCAGCAATAGACAAAATTGACCACGATCAGATCTCGACAAGTGCTCAAACATCATTTCAAGGGACTGTAAAGTCTTTGTTTCAGCATCCAGATCTTCTCAATTTTGTTAAACAACAAACCAACCAACCAACCTTTACAATCTGGGCGTAATTTTCAGATGTTGTAAGATTGGTTGGTTGGTTGGTTTGTTGTTTAACGCCGCACTCAGCAATATCACAGCTATATGATGGCGGTCTGTAAATAATCACGTCTGGATCAGACAATCCAGTGATTAATATCATGATCATCGATCCATGCAATTGGGATCGATGACATGCATCATCCAAGTCAGCGAGTCTGACCACCCGATCCCGTTAGTCGCCTTTTACGACAAGCATAGTCACCTTTTACGGCAAGCATGGGTTGCTGAAGACCTATTCTACCCCGGAGTCTTCACGGGTCAGATGTTGTAAGATGTTGTAAGAGCATGTGAAGCATATACCACAATTGTCCTTGCATGAGACACACAATGTAATCCATTTTGTGAAGCATCACGTTGTATTTCTGTTTGACCAGAGCCACCAAAGAACTTCAACACTGGTGGTTCAGACAAGACATTCTTCATCTCCTTAAGAGACTTTCCATGAATGTGTTCAACCCACAAGAAGTGATTAACATCGATCAACAATACACGTCGAGTGATTTGTGACAGCGTGTCCAGTCAAAACGATCTGATCGATAATCAAGTTCTATATTGTAAAAAAACCGGGTCTTACCCCTCGAAGTGCATCAAATCACTTCAGCACCTTGATTAAAAACAAGAAAACATTTGGAAAGTCTGTCGACGTCCAGTTGGCGATACACATGCTTTGCAAATCCTGCAGTCGACTGAAATCTGCACGTTGAAATCCATGTAGTTCGTTCCGCGATTTTGATTGGACTATGCATAGACTCGTTAGTCCAGGCAAAATGGAACTCCGGAATTCCAGCCTAGTTCGGCAAGGGTTGAAACTGGACTTTTATAGTCAGTTAACTCCCTTGCCACGGGAAGATATCCTAGGTGAAAACGTCAACTAGGACTCTTAACTGAATACCGACAGTAGTGCTGAATGGAGCCACCAAAGCTTCAGCCAAGTTCGGCAAGGGTGGGAACTGGACTTTTATAGTCAGTTAAACCTCGGGAAGATGGCAGCGAGTGTACCCTCAGAGAATTCTGTTTCAGCTGGACTAACGATCACCATGCAACGATCCAGTCTGGAACCCGATGTGGTTGGGACACTCGTGAAGAGCAACCTCCCCATTAATACCTGATAACTGTTCCATTTTTACGGCCGAAGCAAAGGCCATATTCACAGCATTAGAATATATCAATAACCAATCAAAACATAAACAATTCATTATACTTCAGACTAACTCTCTTGCCAGTGTCTGGCGATCAATAGCTCATTTATATCTTGTATTGTTACGTATGATGTTATATTTTTATGGCTACCTACTAGTTTTAAATATAATCTGTGATAAATCTAGTTATTTTACTGTCCATCGTTGACAAATTTTTATTCATTCTAAATATATGTATTATTAATGTACTTTTCGTCACGATATGGCTGAAATACTGCCGATGTCACTATGTGATTGGTGCTATCAAAGTTTCTGAAAACCAAGGTGAAAAGCATTCCCGATCCCACTGAATGATTACGGAAGGCAGATATCTTTGTGTTGAACCTGAATGATTACAATACACAGAGAACTCAAGTCACACATATTGTTCGCGTTTTAAACATAAACGTTCCTGGTGCTTTAAACAATTAGCGTTGCATTTAATTTTTTATTGGTGTCAATGATTTAAGTGAATCATACTCATCGGCGAATACATTCACATTTGATATTTCTGACATTGTTGTTTAAATATTTCATTGGAGAATTAAGGTTGAAATATTTTTTTAAGTGTTTCATTTACAATTGACCCAAAATAAAATATACATACTGATGAAATTACAATTCAGTGTGTATTAATTGTAAAAAGTCATCATTATCAATGGAAAAGGAAGATAAAACAAATACAGTTGCACATTATTTGATTAAATAAAGTGTAACAATACGCATTGTATTAGTGACTTAATATAACACAAATAAATTACATATATTCGATGATATGGTAAAATCAGTATTTGAACACGAAGTAAGAATTTGCAAGAATTGTAATTTATTTGTATCCTTATCTACTCACTATGCCAACAAAAAAGGCTTTGCATTTTTCTGAAAGTTTAAAACGGTCATAACTTGTCTTTGCTTTGATAGACATGATTATTTCTATCTCTGATTTGTATCTTGTTTGTTGTGTAACGCCGCACTCAGCAGTAACCCTTCTGTATGAGACGGGTGTGTAAATAATCGAGTCTAGAGCACAAAATCCAGTGATTGACATCATGAGCATCGATCCAGGCAATTGAGATCCACTGACATGCATCAGACAAGTCAGCTAGCCTGACCACCCGATCCTGTTAATCGTCTTCTACGACAAGCATAGTCACCTTTTACGACAAGCATTGGTTGCTGAAGACCTATTCTATCCCGGATCTTCACGGTATAATTTATAAAGCGGACTCACCTCAATATTGCCGCTTGACGAAACTGCAAAAGACAACTGTTGTGAAGCATGATCTGAAAAAGAGGTTGATCTCTAACAATTGATTATCTTATGATTTGTGTGTTTGTTGCTTAATCCCGCGATCTGTAAACAATCGTCTCTGGACCCGACAAATTCAGTGATTGATATCACCAGCTTCGATCCACGCAATTGGGATATGATGCATCAACCAAGACAGCGAGCCATCCGATCCCGTTAGTCGCCTCTTACGACAAGCACAGTCGCATTTTGCGAGAAGCATTGGTTGCTGAAGACATATTCTATCCCGGATCTTTGCAATTGTATTTAACTCGAAGTGAGCAATATGCGACAGAGATACATGCATAACTAGATACAAATATATTTTGACCACAACAATCTCCTACATGTACACATTAGCGCTCCTATTATGGACACTTATATAAGCCGTCTCGTTGCTTTATGTTTGCAAGGAAATAGCATTGCAAAGGCCGTACCTTGGCAATATCACTTGGCAACAGAGGGGTAGTAGTGTGGATATTTTAATTCTGGAAACCCAATAGTCCTGAAACTCTACGGTCTTTGCCCAGTCTCGGTCAAAGGTATTTACAAAAATAACATGCTGTTTTCATGGGAACATACTAAGGAAGAAAAAATGAAAAACAAAATGTTCAAAAACTATTTATACTATGTCGCCCATGGGCAGGCCCAAGTCAACTAATTTGTGGCGTTATAAAAATATTTCGCCCATGTTTTCGTCAGTCCCTTTAAAGCATTAACTAATTGTGTGCAAAGTATATTGTATTATGTGAAATAAACTTTATATTATATCATTACATTACTATTAAAAAAGGGCCTTTTGTTGGATGTTTCCTTTATAGAAGTTTTACAAATTTGACCTTTTTTACCTTTTGTAGCGATCTTTAATGAACCCGGCCTTACCTCTCAAAACGTTTTGATAGTTTATCATACGAATTCATGCGCGTGTACTCCAATTCATTGGCGTTATTTTCCACAACATTAAAGTTTAGTTAGTTTCTTTTTCATTTCCCATTTTATGTCTCCTTGTTACATCACACAGGGCAATTAAGTGACATTAGGTATACAGATACAACATACAGGTACACGTGCGCGAATTTTAACGGGGGAAAACCCGATTCGTCTTTCATTGCATAACGTCTGCCTGAATATCTCACATTCTAACGAAATCTCGAAATAATTATTTAATTATATGCGGTGTCGAACTGACCATTGGGAATTATGTTTAATGGCGATTGAGGAAAACTTGAGTGAATATTATGACACGAAAGCAACTTTTAAATGCATTAGCAGTTATGCAGGTGTTGCTGTGGGCAAATACCTTATAATTATATACGGACAAATTTATCAGAGAAGGTAATTTTTAATCATTAATGTCCAAAGAAGGATTTTAATTAACGGTAGTAACCATAATTTGTTCCAAGCACCTACGGTATTCGGTAATAACATCAACAGTTTAAATCATAAGTCCAAAGCACGAGAATCTGATGGCACACAGGTTCAGTACGTGTATGGCCACCATGTGCGTTGACAACTGCCACACAACGCCTTCGGATGGACCTTGTGATGCTTGTGAACACATGCTTGGGAAGACGAGGCCATTGTTGCTGCAAAATGGTGCCAAGATCTTGCAAATTCTGTGGTTGGTTCTGGAGAGTGCGCAGACTTCTGCCAAGAGCATCCCAGACATGTTCGATGGGATTGAGGTCGGGAGACCTTGACGGCCAGTCCATGACGTTTACTCCCGCATTCTGAAGGAAATTCCTTGTCAAAATTGCTGTGTGG